TGTTGGCATTGTTAGTAGACATATGCAGAGCCCGAAAATTAGCCATATGAATACCGTGAAACGTATCTTACACTATTTGCGTGGAACGTGTAATCTTGGTATAATGTTTCCATGCAAGAAACCAGGGGGTGAGATGAAATTGGTGGGATTTGCAGATGCAGATTGGTGTGGTGACAGGGAAGATAGGAAAAGCACTGCAGGTCACATATTTTACTATGGCGAAGGACCAGTGTCCTGGAATTCAGTCAAGGAACCCGTGGTGGCTCTCTCCTCCTGTGAAGCAGAGTATATAGCTGCTGCACAAGCTGCATGTCAAGCCGCATGGCTTAGGATGCTGTTGAAGGAGTTGAATGCATAATTGGTCCAACCACCAACACTGTTTGTTGATAATAAGTCTACAATAGACTTAGCTAAACACCCAACAGCTCATGGAAAAAGCAAACATATAGAAATGAGGTTTCATTTCTTGAGAGAGCAAGTTAATGATAAGAAGCTTGAAGTAGAGCACTGCAGCACAGAAGATCAGAGTGCAGATATCTTTATAAAGCCTTTGAAGGCTGCTAGATTTTGTAAACTCAGAGAGTCTCTGGGAATTGTTCGGTTTGGACTTAAGGAGACATGTTGAGATTTAAGTCAAAATGCATGGGGCATGGTTACGTACATGAGATTTATTTTTGTTTTTTCTGTTTAGTATGTTATTTCTATTCTCAATGTATATAAACGTCACAGTTTTCATATATCAATAATATGAAAAATTCTTCATTCTATACCAGTGGCTCTCCCATTTACATTCAATGTGCATATTTTGCCAATTTATCAATCACTACCATAGTAACAATATAACCATACATTGGTTGAAGGCTCATGATAAAATCCATAACATAATCTTCCCATATTTTTTCCAGAATAGGCAAGGGATTAAGCAAACTTGTAGGTAAAGAATGAGAAATCTTAGCGTGCTGACAATAAAATTGTACAATTACACGTTGATAAGTGCGTAAAACTTCAGCGTGACCCCCAATTAGAGAATCATGAAATTCCTTGATTAACTTGACAGTGATAGGAGATTGTCTTGAAGACCATTCTATTCACCAAAAGTATGTTGCGATACTCATCATCACTGGCAATATGTTCCCTTAAATCATAAATTAAATCACGATATTGCGTAGACAATGTAAAGCAATCCATACATGATAAAGTGTCAGCCCCCACATTTTGCTTACCCGATTTGTATTCAAAAACATTGCTCTGGTATTTGGAGTGTCTAATACAGTAAAGACTGCAAACTATTATGATTAATACAGATTATGAAACCATGACCCAACAAATAATGTTGAAACATATCTACTACTTCAGTTTTCGTCAACAGCTCGCAAGCATATGCGGATTTAGATTACATTCTGGATGAGAGTTTTTTTTTTTTTTTTAAGAAAACAATAGGAAGTCCCGTCTGACTTAAAATAGCACAAATACTTGTGCTTGATATATCAGTTTCCAATTCAAAAGAAATAGAAAAATTAGGAAGAACCAAAACTATCCATTTGTAATTATTTTTTAAAGGTTGTTAAGAGACTCAGTTCTTGATCCTAGGAAAAAAAACGTCACAAATAATTTGGTAGAAGGCTACCAGTGGAAGTCAAGAGTTACAAAAGCAGAATCATCGAAAAATTGTATGGTGAGTTGGCTATAATCCGCAACCTAAGGTCCCAACGTCCCTAACCAAGCAGCGCCGAGAATAATTTTTGCAGCTAAAATTGGCAACAAAAAAAGGCAGAAATACGAATGGTATGACCCTGAATTAAAAGAGGAACCTGTCGAACACGTCCTTCACATATCAAATAATGACAATTTCCCACCAAAACCTTGAAGTCAAGCGCATGTTCAATTGGAAGTTTCAAAAATTTCTCCAAACGTGGTTAAATAAAATAACCCGAAGAACCACCGTTAAGAAGAACTTAAACTTCTTGCCCAAAAAGCAAACCTTTAAATCGCAAGAATCCAGGACCCGAAGCACCATTAAAAGCATTATGTGACAAGTGATGGAACTCCACTACTGATTCTTCAATAACTGGAACATAATCGTCTGTGACATTTAGCGTTGTAGTTTCCAGTAGTTGTTTATCTTCCCGAAAAAGGAAAAGAAATTATCGATTCGGGCACCAATGAGAATGAGTGAATTTATCATCGCATGTATAATGAAGTCCAAATCCACTATTGTGTCGGACTTGCATCTCTATAGTGATCATTCGCTTAACAGGAATACAAGATGGAGGTGCTGGTACGGGTGATGTTTTTGGAGATGGAAGTAATCTTGGAAGCAACGAATTTTGCGACAATGGCGTTTGATTGTTGCGATTCAGAATAAAGGATGGATAACGTAATTTGTGTTATATGAAACAAGAATGGTCTTAACATCATATAGTTTTGCTAGTGCCACCGCTCTGATCAAAGTAGGAGATTGAACCAATACTTCCCACTTCACATCACTTTTGAGGCTGTTAATAAAACAATCAAAAAGTACAGCACCTATAAGTTCTTCGACTCTATTTGCTAATGAAGCAAATTCATGATAGTAACCCTGAACCGAATCATCTTGTTGAAGTCTGCACATGGGGAATCAAACGGAGAAGGACCAAAATGCGCTTCAACAGCTTGCACCAGAGCCTGCCAAGTTGGAAGGAGATTGGTTCTTTGCAGCATTTGAAACAATCAAATACTGTAATAAATTTGAAAGAGAACCGTATTCATTATATTAACTTAGTACATGAGTATTTTTGTTGTTGCACAACAGTTCATGAGGTTGTAGGTTGGTTAATTGTCGTGTTGGATGTATCCATACAAAGGATTTGAAACTCAAATTATTTACCTATCTTTCTCCTCCACCTTGCTACAACAGGCTTAACTCGTGGCAAATCTTTTAGAACAACAATTTTAGTCTCTTATCTTACTTGTATTGTAGTGGCATAAACTGGGTTTTGTTTCAATTTTTTCTTTTCTTTTTTATTACTTTTGCTCCCATTGGACAAATAACCGTGCATGCTTCAATTTAAATTATTATACAACATCCTGAGAATGAATTTGATAACTCTTCAAGCATGTTCAAGTGCCAACTTATGTTTCCTTGACTCATTCTTTTAAATAATTCCAACAGAAGAAGATGTACCAGACAACTACCTGTTTCTCAATTAAAGATGGTAAAAATTCAGGCAGTGTGAGAACATCTAGGTGTTCACATCAGCCAAGAAGGTAAGCTGAATTCTGTCACGAGAAAAAAATTTCTATCAAGGATGACGGTGGTGAGACTTAGACAGCACCTTTTACTTCAGATACAGAGGCATTTGCATACAAAGGGTGGAGAACATGACCTTCCTTGGGCTCAACATGCACCCATTTGCGACCAGACAGCTTGTTCTGTTCAAACTTCACCCATCCCTCTTTCAACGCAAACAAAGTATGATCTTTCCCGAGTCCGACATAGTTTCCCGGATGAAAACGAGTACCACGTTGTCGAACAATGATATTTCCCGGTATCACCCTCTGCACAGTAAGAAGAGAGTTACATCTTTATTCAGTTCTTACTTCCTCTATCTGTAGGCATAACATTAGTACTCTAAGTGTAAAATAAATACCTCCCCACCAAATTTCTTAACTCCAAGGTTCTTGGGTTTGGAATCCCGTCCATTCTTTGTGGATCCGGCAGTCTTTTTGGTAGCCCACCGCCTGAACACCATACTCAAACCTTGTCCAGAAGCATCTATTATAGTGGATCAAAAAATCATTAGTCTAGCTTACTTCAGAAAGAAATCATACAGTAGAGGACATACCATTGGTGCTTCTATACACAGGAACATTTGTCACAAGTTCCTTGATATTTAATCTTCTGCAAAATGATGCTGCGAAATTCATGTTGTTTTCTGTGATAAAACAACCTGAGACAAATTAAAACATTGGAAAATTTCATGTCGTGAAACAAATCAATTACGCTTAATGCAATTGTCGTAACAAATACCAAACACCAGAATTATTCAGTTGTGGCAAGATGGCAAGATCAGATCATCAGAAATAAGTTGGCCATACAATTTCACTGTCATATGATCATTACAAGGTATTTATCTATTTAATATGCAGACAACAAATTATAAAGACAGGATAATCTCACAAAAAAATGAAACTTATTATTATCGAAAGAAATCCATAGTCTGCAAGCACAGGAATACCTACCTCCCTGTCATCCTAATTTATGGTGATACATATCTTCGTTTAGTATGTAATAAATTCAGCAGAAATCTAGTCTCTATTCGTTAGCAACTAAATATTTTATATCAATGTTTCAAGTAAAATCTGAATAGGCGGTTGCTTTGATTAAATTATAGCAAATTAGGTGGTCATTTAGTTACGCAACTCGAGAACTCTAAATTTAAAACATCAAAATTAACAGTATTTTATATACTACAATTGATGACATCTTTTACAAAACTAATACGTAGCATATAAATGTAGTGAATGCTAAGAATGAAGCATGGGGTGGCACCAGGTAATCTTCAGTATGTTTTAGATCCAAATAGGAATGATGCCAAAACTGTTTGAGACTCTCAATCTATAATTGATTGGATTTGAATTATATAGAGGATATCTTATCTTAATTGTTGGTCACTATCTCCCCTTGAGCGATTAGTTAGTCTTCAAGAACTCCACATTTATGAGATGAAATCAGTGAAGACTGTTGGTACTAAATTCTATGGAAGTACTTCACCTTCATTTCAACCATTCCCCTCCTTGGAGATTTTGACATCTGAGGGGATGCTAGAGTGGGAGGAATGAAACATGATCGTTGGTACAACTATAGAGTTTCCTAGCCTATCATATCTCTCTCTCAAATTGTCCCAAACTCCAAGGAACCTTACCCACCAATCTTTTTTCAATTGCTTAATATTATTTTTTAGTGCATATATGTGTATCCTATTGCTTATACAGATGGCAGAATGTTTTCAGCACCAAAAATGGCCCGATTTGAGGTGCTGGCTGACACCCTCTTCTACTGTAGATACAAAAAAACCCTTGATCCTTTCTCCCATCAGCAGTCTCATAAAACCTGTCTTGGTCCAGCCGATTGGGCTAGTCTTGCAAGCAGGTCAATTCTATTACTGAATAGTATATGATATAACTTGGTGATTTCATGGAACTGGCTTTAACTCGGATTTAACCAGAGCAACTCAGTTCTGGGTGGACTGGTTGATGTTATTTGTGTTGCCATAAATATGCCACCACAGTAGGCCAGAAGAGATGTGTAAGATAAGTGAAAATGTGAGAGATTGGTGACACATTTTCAGAAAACAGAATGGAAAATAAGGGAGACTGGTGCCACATTTTCAGAAAAACCAAATAGCAGCCCTATCCTGGCTTCTACTTAAGCTAGGACAGCTGCAATGCCAATTCACAATGCTACGAAGGCCCTCCTAATGGCAAGGGCCTGCCACACTCACCAGGGCAGTATAGCACTATTCTCAACCCTGGTTTGGCATTAGACTAAAAGTGCCATAATAAGATATTAAGACATGGAATGATAATTGTATTTAGTCATTCCAAAAGCCAGCACAAGGATCATCCTTGTGCGGAGTATTGGGTATATAAGTGTCCATGACCATGTCCATGTCCAACATGATTTTTTATGTGTATGAACAGTGCTGCTCCATAGGTTAAAATAGTGATGAAATTATAAGCATTAAATATGGTTTAAAAATTACAAAAAACACATGGACCCAAAAGATTCTCTTTCCAATACCAATTCACTACCCTCCTCTCTACACAAACCAAAATGTACTTTGTGCCACTCCTCTAACAAAAATAAAAGACACACAACAAAACAAAAGGGCTTTATTGAAGTAGATGTAGAAGCATAATCAAATACAACCCTAAGTTCACTCAAACATTTCAAAAAAATAAAACCCTAATTTGACTCAAACATTTAAAAAAAAAACCCAATTCCACTCATATTATATAAATAAATAATAAAAAAAAAACTCAAAAAACTAGCACAAGAAAAAGCTCAGCAGGTAGCTAGCAGCTTATCCACGTCAATACTAAAAGGTAGACTAAAAGAAATCAATGCCAAAACATTCCCCCTCGTCTCAAAACCTAAACAACAACCTATTTTCTAGAAAGGCAAATCACGAAATGGACACCCCAAAAACTACTGAAATTCATCAAATTTACGTTCACGGATTCCTCAACCAACAGATTCGAAGGGCAATTCATAATCTAAACCACACCACAGGCAAATAAGGAGTTACAAGAGAAAGCAAGAAGTTAAGTAGTTTAGAGAAAGAAAGAGAGTACCTTAGACAGAGGTAGAAACAGATAAATGACGATGAAAACGCTCACACAGGCAGCAATTTGCTTCAAATTGAAACCACCCACAACGAACCCAAAGCCTAAGCCTGCCTTTTGTTAGTTTATTTTTTATATATTATTCTATCTCTCAAAATATTAACTATTCTTTTATTAGGGTATTATTTGATTATTTTAGTGCAATCCATAAAAGTATTTTTAATTTTTTTAAGCTGCCAACAATTTCTTACACATAGTGATCAACATTCAAACTACCGATCTATGATAATTTGAAATTAAATATAATTTTGCTATTATATTTTGTTTGTCAAATTTAATTTTGGTTTTTATATTTTAAAATTTTGATAATTAGTCATCACCTTTTTAAAAAATAAATATTTTTATTAATTGTTATAATAAAAAATATTACTAAATGATTAAAGTCACGTTTAATCCTTTTATCAATTCCATTAAAATAAAAAATTATTATTAAAGATTAATTCAGATATAAATATAATTACTAATTCATAAATTTAAAATACAAGACTCGAAAATAAGTTTGAAATTACATTAAAGACAAAAACTTAAATTCTCCATAATTATATATATATATATATATATATATATATATATATATATATATATATATATATATATATATATTAAATGGGTTATAAGTGTACAAAAGCTTAGTTAATATTAAAAATAAATTAGTGTTGTCAAGTTAACGCAAACATTAAAAAATAAATAATCAACATAATAAAACTTGAAATTTATAATATTTTTTTAACATATTAGCGATGAATAAATTTGCCGTTACCAATTTTATTTTTATGACGGATTAATAATAAAATGTCATTAGCAGTTAATTTCCTTTTTTTAAGAATTAGCGAATAATTTTTGTCATTAATTAATTTTATTTTTCACATATTAATGATTATCATGTGTATAATTTATTTTTTTGGCAGATTAGCATCGAAATAATTTTGACGCTAATTGATTTCTTAGTTTTAATGGATTAGTCACAATCAAATTTCGTCCTCATGTTTCATTTTTCTCACATATTAACCATAAATAAAAGTTATTCCTAATTAATTTCATACATCAATGGATTAGCGAAGAACAAATTGTATACTTAATTATGTCCATTTTTCTAATGCATTAGTAAAGAACTAATTTTTATTGCTAATTAATATCATTTTAATGAAGAATTAAAGGTCAATTTGTGTTGGAAAAAGAAAAAATAAATAAATGATTGAAGGATGAGAAAAAAATGATTCAAGAAGAAAAATAAATTAGTATTTCAATGGAATTTTGATAAACAATTTTTTTCTTAATTAAAAATCTTTTTTCTGATGGACTAGTAGTGAAAAAATTTCGTTTCTAATTAATTTCATTTATAGGCTGAGTAATTATGAAGAAATTGTTATGCAATTTTATACTTCGAACCAACGAGAGGGACTAATAATTCCGTCGCTTCATTTTTCTCATCAATAAATTTTATTGTTAATTTATTTATTTATTTATGGATTAGAACAGAAAATTTTGTTGTTAACTGTTTTCATTTTTGGACTATTAATATCACCTTTTTTTATGGATTAAGACAGATAAATTCTATTACTAATTAATTTCATATTTATGACGGATGAACGATAAGCAACTTCCTCACTAACTAATAAATGTCTATTACTAATAAATGTTTCTTATTTATTTCACTTTAGTAATGGATTAATAACGAAAAAGTTTTGCAGCTAATTAATTTCATATTTCTAGTCAATTAAAGATGAAAAAATTTGGCTCTAATTAAGTTCAAATTTTTCAGGAATTAGCGGATGAAACATTTTGTTAATAATTAATTTCATTTTTTTCTAATAGATTAGGGATAAAAATAATCGTTAATTACTTCATATTTCAAACGGATTAGCAACAAGTGAATTTCGTCACTAATTTATGACATATTTTTGTTGGATCAGCCACGAAAAAACTTCAGCACTAATAAATTTCATATATATGAGGATTAGCGACAAATAATTTATCGTTAACAAAATTCATATATCTAACAAATAATTTCGTAGTTAATTAATTTTATTTTTCTCACATGTTAAGAGCGAAAAATTGTATCAATAATTTATTTAGTTTTAAAAATATATTTATTCATTTAAATTTTCAAATACTATCACATGATGTAGTCCAAATTAGAATCCAGAATCCCATTGCGTTTTCCTATTGGTAAAAGAAAACGAAAATCGCAAAACTACAAAACGAAGGTGAATTTCTGGTCAACAAATTTTCGTATGGTCTCGCGAAAAACACAAAACAATTCGTTATACAATCAAGACAAGAATGAACGAATGAATCACCTGGCGTGGAATGGCAACGGAACGATTTCCGACAGCGGTGTTGGTGCCGGCGACGGTGACGGTGAGTTCCGGCAGAGTGGACACGTGGCACTCATCCGCAGCCACACGTCCACGGAGTCCGCGTGGAAACAGTGGTGGCAGCTCGGAACGCAGCGTACTGCCTCCTTGGGAAGGTACTCGCAGAGGCCGCGATCGTCGGGTCTGGGGAGACGCCCGCTCTCGCCGACCACGATCTTCGGGTAGGCCTCGATGACAGGCTTTTCCAGGCCTAGGACCATGGGCCTGGGCCCAGCGGAGTCCCGAATGGTGTTATTTGGTTCCGTTTGGTCGTAGTAAGTGTTGTTGAGGGTGCCGCGAGAGTTGGATTTGATGCGGACGCAGGCGTAGGAGGCTAGCATGATGGAGGAGATGAGGACGAGGATGCTGACGGCGATAGCAATGCCGTAGCCGAGACCTACGCCGGTGGTAGTTGCGGCGGCGGAGGGTGGCGGAGACGCCGCGGACATGAGAGAGAGAATTTGAAAATGGGAAAAGGGGTTTGGTTTGGAAGAGAGGGTTGAAGTGAAAGAGTGCAACAGTTGGATTGCTTGATTAGAACCGCATTCCGCGGGAAAAAAATAAATGACCTAGAACACTGTGACATTGACATTCCGTTATAATAATTTACTTTCCGTTCTAATATTTGTTATTGATTTTACTTAGAGTTGTGAAAATGTGACTAATAGTATATAATTTATATTTTTTATGTAAAAATATTACTATAATTCATTTTAATGCAATTTCTTATCCTAATAAACTATAATTGTGCTGGATCTAGATGACATTTATGATAAGTTCAATATTATATACATGGAACTTGTTTCAATTCAATCTCTAATGGATCAGTTTTCTTTGATTTCAAGCAAATAATGGAATCTTTATAGAGCTTGAGATTCGTGAGATTCAAATTTAAGCTTAATAAAACATTTTATCAGCTGCTTCTTATAATAAAACTTGTTATGTTGATTTAAATATTCTTTCACATATGTTACTTTTTCACCTGTATATGAGGAAAAATATAAAAAAATTAATAACATTTTTAGGAAAAAAAAATACATGAGTTAATTACACACATAGTCTTCAATATGGAGATGATTTTGTTTGGTGGATAAATAAATTTTAATTTTGATTATATTTATTTTTTTATGAATAGATAAGGTTTACTTTAATTTATATTTTATCATGAGCTTTTGATTATATTTTCTTATGAGTTTTGTATTTATTTTTATATTATAACAATAAAAATTTAGAATGATATAATTATCTCACCATTTATACATTTTGTTATAAAAATGAATTAATCTAGAGATATAAAATCTTGTCTTATGACATGAGTTAAAAATATATATATATATATATATATATATATATATATATATATATATATATATATATATATATATCTGTGTGTGTGTGGTAAAAATCAAATGAAATTTGGAGAGAGTTTTTCAATATTTCAAAACTCTACTAGTCTCATTATAAGAATACTCTTACAAAATATTAAATACTAATTTTAATATTATTTTGTTTTTTTATCACACACAGTTTTAGGGTTGCTTGTAAAAAAAGTAACTAAATAAAGTATTTCTTTTATTAAAAAAATTAAGTTATTTTTACTATATACATATTTATTTTCATTCGTATATGATCGAAAAATAAAAATATAAAAAAATATTATTTTATAAAATTATATTTATTTAAATAAATTTTTTTATCTCTACTCATTTTATGTCATATTTATATCTATCTATCCCCTTTATATATATATATATATATATATATATATATATATATATATACTTTTAAATATTATTGTAATAAAATTTTATTAATGTAAAAATATTATAAAAATAAATAAATAATGTAATATATATTTATTTTTTTATTTATAATATAATATTATGTTATTAATTAAATTTTAAATAATTTAAAAAAATACTAATTTTTTAATAAAACTATTTTATAATTATATATTAAAATATATAATATTAAAAAAAAGTAAGATATTAATTTTCAAATGTTATTTTCTTTATTTTGATTGAGATATAAAGATGAGACTTAAAACACTAATTTGTATCACCAAGGAATAATACGAGAAAAAAGTGAGAATATTCTTCAAAAGCATATAAAGTAGTTGTTGACACACAGAGAATTGGTTCTATTTTTAGAAATATAAAAATATAGATAGAATAATTAAAATTGTAAAAAAATGTTTTTGAAAATTTTATGACTTAATATGTATGAAACTTATGACAATTAAAAGAAAATATAATAAAGGAAAAGATAGTAAAACCTAACTTTAATATAAGTTTAATGGTGAGAATATTAATCACAATTTTTTTAGTTCTTTAACTACTTTTTATTACTTAAAATTTATTATAATATTTATATCAAAGATCAATTTATCCATTTCCAAAAATATCTTCTTCAAATTAAACTTAATATTTTGAAAATATAGTCAATAGTTTATGAGAATGACGTTTACACTTTATCAAATAACGAAATACCAGTCATTGTAATTTTAATTTTTATGATATAAAAAAATATCTTCACATAATATCACATAATATCACTAATAAACTAATAGTCCATTTATAACTATTTTTTGGAAGAAAAATTAGAATCCATAATTATAGAAAGCAGTGATCTAATTTTAAACCTACTCAAGAAAATCATCGAAATTGAAATCGATGCTTAGCATGCAGAAGCAGCAGCACCACCACCTTTTGATTCATTGGCGGTGGAAAAGAAACTAGAAACCCCTCACCCTCTCGTATATATATAAACCCATTTCCCTCGAATTGTCAACCGTTACTTTCTCTTTCTCTCCCTGTCTACCTTTCTCTCATCAAACTGCATCCTCGCCGGCGGCGATATCTCCGGCCGCCGCCTCGCGGATCTACTCCGAATGTTCTGTTCCTTGCTTCGCATTCTTTTGTTTAGGTTTGTGTTTTGCATAATCTTCAATTTTATTTCAATTCTTTCCTTATGTTCAGTGCTTTGTCTTTGCTAATTTATTCGTTCAGATTCGTATTTTTTTTTATATTTATTTCTTTTAATTCGTTCTCTATATTTAATGCTGTTTCTGTCGCCAATTTTTCCATTTAGGTTTGTGTTTTTATAATCTTCAATTATTTTAATTAAAATTATCTTCAATGCTGTGTGTGTCTCTAGAGTTTCTCTGTTTTGAAATCTGTCTGGTATTTGATTTTGATGCATGCAATTGCGAATTGTAATTCAACTGTGATTACCTTTCGATTTTTGTGTGTTTCCAAATTTTCATCAATGTGAAGTGTTTTGTTTCTGTGTTTTTTATGTTCATCTCGTTCTTCAGGGAGATTTGAAAAAGATGATGAAATGTGAGAGACTTTTTTTGGACGACAAGAAATAGATAGAACTGAATTGTGATATGCTTCTTGAGTTCGTCTAATTTGATTATTTGACAGCGTTTTGGCTTACCGACTTGATGTATGGTTTTCTAGAGATTTTGGTGGGTGAGTGTATGCCTTTTATCTACTCAATTTTCAGATTTAAAATTATGATTTCTCTTTTCATGTAGAGGATCCGAAGTTTTCATTGATTTTTTTTTCCTAGTTTTTTTTTATAAGAATGACACGTCATTGGAGTGGCTATTACAGATCTTTGCAAAAACAGAAAATATATGAGATACTTGGTCACTTTTTACTAATGTCAACAGTAAAAATTATTGGGATTAATTTTCTGATATACATCAGTCCCGGATCATTTCACGATGTTGTTTTGAGTGAAACACAGATCTGATTACTTATATATGATGATTTTTCTATTCTTCAATTCCTTTTTTCTCTTATCTATATCAAACTATGTATTAATTGTAGAAGGAGCTGTGAAAGAGAGCAAGAATTTTGTTGGATATCATTTTGATGATTTAAATGTTTGTGTTTTCAACAACTTTCCAGGAATTGAATTCATAAATAAAGGAAACTTGATATTTTAAGGAAATATTTGCTATATTTGAAGTTTTGGAAGCTTTCACAATGGGTCCAGAAAGCCAGGAGAACCACACCACAGGTCCTACAGAAAATCCTGTAAAAGACAATGCCAGTTCTTCTGAAAATCCTGCAGGAGATCAAATGGGGATTGCAGGAAAAAAGGTTAATAACATAGCAGATGTTGGAGAGAATCCTACAAAGGAACACGTAGCAGGTGGTGTAGAAAAATCTGCTAGCGACCAATTAGATGGTTTAGTAAATATTGCAAGCTACCCCGCAGGTGGGGCAGAAAATCCTGTAAATGGACAAACATATACTGCACAAAATCCTTCAAGTGAACAAGCAGGCAGTGTGGAAAACCTGTTGACCTTCGAAGCAGGTGGTGTGGAAAATCCTGCTAATGGTCAAGCAGCTGGTGGCGCAGAAAATTCTGTAGACAGCAAAGCAGGTGCATCAGAAAGTGCTATGAATGATAATGCTGGTGGTGAAGAAAGTCCTACAAGGAACCTTGTAAGTGGTGCAGAAATTTCTTTAAGCAAACAAACAGATCCTATAGAAAACAGCAAAAATGAAACCTCTGTATGCTGCAAAGCAGATCGCCTTCCAGAAGAAGCACAGGAGATACTGAAATCATTGGCAAGTCACTGGGAGGATGTACTTGATGCAAATGCATTGCAGGTGTTCCCTCTCAAAGGAGCAATGACAAATGAGGTATTCCAGATAAAGTGGCCAACTAGGACAGGAGAAACTTCACGAAAGGTTATTGTTAGAATTTATGGTGAGGGTGTGGACGTGTTCTTTGATAGGGATCATGAGATTCAAACATTTGAATTCATGTCAAAGAATGGGCAAGGTCCTCGCCTACTCGGACGATTTACAAATGGTCGTGTTGAAGAGTTTATCCATGCACGGGTAATCTGATATTTTTTATTTTATTTTATTTGTAGCCATAGTAATGATACTCCTTCAACTACCTTTCAGAAATTTGTTATTATTTGGTTCAGGATTGTAAACTATTGAACACATTGCAAAACTTATCTAAAATATTCATTTTTCATTATTTATCTTGCTATATAAATGATTTGTAAAAGTTAAGCATTCTTCTTTTCTTTTTTGTTTATTGATCTCTCTACACCAGTTAAGAATTTGACATGCTCATACATTTGATGGTGAATTTATCAGACATTATCAGCATCTGATCTACGTGATCCATTCATTTCTGCTCTTATAGCGGCCAAATTGAAGGAGTTTCATGATCTAGATATGCCTGGTGGAAAGAAATTTCACCTTTGGGATAGATTGCGGTATGTGCTATTTGAACAACTGTTCCAGCATCTCCATTAAAAATGTACAAAAAGAGAGTTTATATATGTTGAATAGCACTAAGAGACTGGCTCTTTTATATATTTTATTTAAATAATGTTATTTAATACTTTCCAATTTTAGTTACACCTATCTCAAATATTTTTGTTTAAACTTTTCAGAAATTGGCTTAGTGAAGCCAAACGTTTATCATCCCCTAAAGAAGTTGAAGCATTTTATTTGGACACAATAGACAAAGAAATCACCATTTTGGAAAGGGAATTATCAGGCCCACACCAAAAGATAGGATTTTGCCACAATGATTTACAATATGGTAACATAATGCTTGATGAAGAGACCGATTCTGTGACCATCATAGTGAGTTTCCCTTTGCGCTAGTTTATGGGGGAAATGATATAATATTTACTGTTTCAAGGGTGCTGCTCTGTGGAAATAATGGCTATATTAATTTTTTTGGGATATGTTCATAAAATGATTTTCTTAGTAGTAGTAATTTCTTTTACACTATAGAATGTCTCGTGGACCCAGATTATTGAAATGTACCAAAAGTTATGGAAGAATTATACCTGTCAAAAAGATCAGTTGCTCAAGGTTATGGGCAATGGTTCAATTGGTATGACATAAAAGAGATTAAGTGTTGTATGACTTGTAGTGTGTTTGCTTCATGGTTTAGAAATTTATTCCTTGGAATTTGAATTCAGAATGTAATTTCCCATATTTGATATTTGTTATGAGTTTTAAAAAATTATTCCCAGTCTCAGAATGTAGTAGTAACTTATTCATTTTTTCTCCATGATGAGGGGTGGGAACTCGGAACTTTATATTCTCATAGGAAGATGGGAAGTCATTTTCTATTGCTTCTACTTTTAATTCTTATCATTTTGAATTGTAAAAATATTTGTAGAAATGTTAATAATTAACCAAATGTATTTTTTGAATTTACTCATGAATTATATTCCTGGTTATGAATGCAATATATCTTGAACTGAAAACAAATGCCACCATAGCCTTGACCAAAAGTTGAAGAAAAGGATCATTATGAAAGAATACTGTAGTCATGCTGGTATCTTAAATGTGGGTGCAAGACTTTGGGAATAGATAGTTATAGCTTGATGAATGTTACTGTTTCTTTATTGCTTATGCTCTCTTCTATATTTATTGGGAGATAAGAAAGTCTATTGAAATGTATGATATGAGATTGTGAAGTGTGAACGATGGTGTAGATCTTGTATATGATCACTTTTTTCCTTTGTTTTTATTTATTTATTTTAAATATTGCTAAAGGTATGAGAAACAGGTTTACTCTTAGTTATATTTTGACAAAGGATCAATTGACCATAGCCAGCAAATATGATTTTATGCTACCTTTTTGTAACAGGACTATGAGTACGCCAGCTATAATCCTGTAGCATTTGATATAGCCAACCACTTCTGTGAGATGGCTGCTAACTATCACACAGAAGAGCCTCATATACTTGACTACAATAAATATCCTGGTATGTGACCATGTGGATTTTATTTAACTTATTTTCATTCATTTCATTATCTGTGGTGACTTTTATTTTGATGGCCCCTGGACAGATTTTGAGGAGCGTCAAAGATTTGTGCTGGCATACTTGAGTACATCTGGTAATGGATTACATCAAATCACTCTATAAAGTTAGAAGATTATATTGCATAGTGGTAGTTTAAGTCATTTAAATTGAGTGATTTATACACAAATCGTTAAAATTGGTGTCTATCACAATTGATTAACCAAGTTGTACAGTCTAAATTAAACAAGAAGTAGAGATCAATCATCAATATGCCCTTGTATTTGATCAGTTGTATAACCTTGCATCGCCTTAAGGATTGTAATTGTAATTGTCATGTCGTGTTCCTGAAATTTTGGGTCTTGATGCAGGTGAACAGTGTAGTGATGATGAAGTGGAGCTGCTACTTCAAGACATTGAGAAGTATACTCTTGCAAATCATCTATTCTGGGCAGTTTGGGGAATAATCTCGGTATCTTCACTTTCTCACTTTGGTTTGCTTTAAATAATGCTCTTGACACTCTAGGTAGGATGGGTGTAGCTGAGTCCTAGACGGGAAAATGTTATTCCATAATACCGTTCCCATAAATGTGCCCTATTTCCATTGATATAAACATTATGGGCTGCTAATAAAAAAGTGGATGAATTTTTCCAATGGTTTCTTAAAGCAATGCATGAATAATATATGTGTGCATTGTTTTTTGTTGGTAGTTTTATCAGCATCGTTGTTACAGCTGATGAAACTAATGCCATTTGAATTGGTATTGATGCATCATAATTTGTATTGAAGTATTTTTGTTACACTTTACTCTTTTAGATGTTGGTTTAAACAATTTTTTCTTTTTGGAAAAAAGTTACTGATTTGAAAGTTAAAATAAACTTCTATCATTTTTAGCCTCTCCAAAATGCAGTTTATCTTGTAAGACAATCACTTACATTACATGTATATAGAAAAGGTCATTGTGACAAGAAATAATTGCACTGCATACACGGTGTGCAGTATACTGCTTTTGGGATTTTATGAACTCCAAAATTCTTCCATGAGGTACAGGTATTTTGTACTTCGTTGACACAAGCAGATGTGAATTTCTCCATATTTAGCTGTTAGAGATATTATATATACTAAATAGTATATATCCAGTAGTAAAGAGGGTAGGGATTTTGTTTTAATTCTTCATCGTCTCATCTTCTGATTAATTTTTTCAGGCTCAAGTAAACACAATTGACTTTGACTACAAGGAGTATGCTAAACAGAGGTTTCAAGAGTACTGGGCCAGGAAACCTTATCTTTTAATAAACTCTGACGCACCTTCTCCGTATAATGTGCCTGAGGGTACAGGTATTTGATTCGAGTTGTTTTGTTAACTGCTTTGTGAATAGAATCGATAGATTGCTACATTCAGATAACATTCCAATGATGGTAGTCAATTTTGTTATGCGCATGTAAACCGGTAACATTCCAATTATGGTAGGTTTGTAGTTTTGTTGTGTGATTATTGTCAAATGTAAGCAAAGAACAGTACAATGACGGTAGTTGATCTTGTTATGTGATTCTTACATGTAAGTGAGACTCTACAATGGCTTAAGAAAACTGTTAGCTGATGATGAATAGTTTTGTGCTCGCATTACAAGCCATGACAATTGACAAATAAGAAAAAATGTATTAGCAGTACATTCAAATATAATTAGGATATTATTATCATAATTTTTTTTTGCCTGTGTATTAATTATTATTCATAAATGAATTTAGCTAAATAGTTTTATGGTGGTGTCTTTTGTAAGAGTTTATTCAATAATTCCTTGAAGAAGAGAAAAATAAGAAGAAAAATTGAAATTAACTTCTCCACATCTTATGAATTAATTTATAGAAATTTTTTCTTATATTTTTTTTAATTTGTGCATAAATTAATTCTAGCTTATTTAGAAAATTTTTTTTGTGTTGTAGAGGAACTCGTCAAATTATTATCTAACCCAATTTTAAAGAAAAGATTCAATAACAGTTGTGATTGGTTTCAACTTTGTATTTGAAAGAGTGTGTTGATACTTGATAGTATTTTTCTTCTTGTTGTTTGTATGATTTACTGCTGTCTAGAATAAAATGCATATTTTGCATTGGATATTTTGACGGGGAAGTTGACCCACTTTTTATTCTGGGTTTGTACTCCCATTGTTAAGAATAAAATAAAATATGATTTTGATCTCTATGATATTTTCAAAGATGAATTTAGTTCTTTTAAAAGGGTTTTCTCTATATTGCGAATTCTAATTTTGAAATGAATTACTTTTGTCTTTAGTTATTATCTTTTATTTATTGACCCCAAACACGGGGTTACTTATCAAGTATTGTATATTTACCTCTATACTTTTACAGTTGACTTAGGTTTTTTCTATTATATCTTATAAATATATTTTATTTCTGGTAAATTATCAGATTTTATTTTCTGAGCCTAATAGTTTCTCTTAATCATTTTGTTTTTGTTCTAAAAGGAGTTTAGACATTGATTTAAACAGTAAATAATGTTATTTAGATAGGTTTTGAAAAAAAAAACCTATTAAACATGAAATTAGAATAAAAAATAAAATCTGATAATATCTCAAGACAAAAATATATTTATTGGAGTAATATTTATTTGTCATCCAAGTGCATTAAAATTCAGCCATATTTTTTTTCTTTCAACTATTCATATTTTACTTTATATATATATATATATATATATATATATATATATATATATATATATATATATATATATATCCGATTGTTTTTTGTTAGGTTTCTTGATATTTATTTTAATTTTCTCTAATATATCTATTTTTTGTTAATTTTTATAAAGTTTTGTTCATTTTTAATTCTTCTCTATTAAAAATATGATAGGACAAAACTAAAGTATCTTCATAACATAGGGATTAAAATAAAAGTTACGAAAATTATGTCAGTAATTTGAGTAAAAATAAAATGACTGTTTTAAGGATTCAATATATATATTTAAATAGAAGCTATTTGTTTTCATTGTTTGCTTTATTGTTTTTTTATCAATATTTAAACTTGAGGAAAAAAAAAATTGTGAGGAATTGTTATAATATCTGAGTATTTATTTTTTTCCTAAACGAACTCTAGTATGGATAGTTATTGTCTTTACTATCTTAATTCATGAATAGAAGCTGAAAAGAGAATATTATATGTATGATGTTTATTGATGAATAAATAGTGTGAATAATGGTTTTTGGCAGGAGAACTAGCACAAGCAGCGCCCTCCCACAAATCGAAGAACTCTAGTATATTCAGGAAGATGAAGAGAGTTTTGGGTCTCGGTTTATTCAGGTCCAGGAACTAGGACTAAATTTTCCCACCTCTTTTTTTTCACTTTCTCTCTTTATAAAATATCAAATAAGGAAACTCAAGAATAGGTACACATAAATAATGTATAAAACAAGCATTACATTTCGCTATTATATTTTATTCTTTTTTTTTTTTTCTACCTCTATTCTTTTCGCTTCTTTCAATCTTAAGTGCATATAATATTTTTTGGTTGTAAACATTTTTTAAAATAGTTGATAGATGTAAAATCATAACATAGTTATATTTAAATTTAATTTATATCGAATTTAATTTAACTGACTTAGAATCAATTATTTTATTATGTTATTCAGTTTTAACTATTATATTTCTATTTCATTCTGTTCTTTAAAAGAAAACATATTTATTAAACACTGGTTATAAGGTGAAACATTTTTTAACTAATAAAAAAACTTAAAGTCAGCTAGAAAATCTTATTAAATATAACAAAAAAGTAAAAATTTTACTCTAAACAGTTTTTTTAGTATTTTAAAATTGAGTTATATATTTTTTATTAAAATTAATGGTGTTATTGTTATTGTTAATATTTTATGAAAGTACCATACTTAACTGATAAAAAAATTAAATAAATTTGTATAATCTATAATGTTCTATACTTATTAATTCTAACGACAAAAAATATAATAATATTTAAGACACAAATTTTGTTTATGGTATATAATTAGAAAAATGTTGTGAGAGATTAAAATACATATTTAATGTGTAAAAAGTGTGTATATTTAATAAATAAATTATATATACCAACATAGTTGAAAATTAAAGTTAAATTATTTTGGTTTTATGCGATATTTTAGTGATTGTGATTATCTCACGTGTTGTTTTTCTCCTTTATTTGTGGGCTTCTGGTAGATTTCTTTCATTCCTTGTTATTGTCCAACAATAGTACAAAATTGTTACAACTTCAATCAATAATGGAAAAACTTAAATGAAGTCCTCTTCACATGATGTTGCAATCTTCCTTTTCTCTCTCTTTTTTTTTTCTTTCTTTTCACCTTTAAAACTCTTCTGTTCCATCCAACTCTCTTCTCCATTATATATCTCTTCCTTTGTTTCTTATAATATTCTTGTCTTCCATTTAACACTTTCATTTACACTTGTGCAGGTTTAAAAAATGACAAATACGCAGTGAAAATAACAAATTGTGACCAACATTCAAAATCTTGGGATAGACAGTTCATTCCTCTATCTGCAAGATACAGTATTAAAGTACATTTTACTTTGCTTAAATATGGTCAGAATAACGTTCACTATCTTTATTTATTTATTTTTCTAAGTAAAACAAACTAATATTTCTTACCTTCCATTTAATTTCTAATTTGCCTTTGCATATTATTGGATTTCTAAACTTATGAATCTTATTTGTGTTCACTTAACTTACGATGAATCTTAGCAGTAACAATACAGGGGAATGGATGCTGCCAAACACCCATAAATCAAAATCAAATTTTTGCAAATCATTTTTGTTTAGATTTAGGGTTTTAAACATGTAGGGATTTTTAGGGTATTTTATTACGTATGTATTTTTAAATATATGAGATATATGAACATGATATGGTGAAGCTTTATTGTGTATATTTTATTTATTATTAAATGTATACAAAGAGTAAAATATAACAAAATATTAAATATTTATAATATTTTAATTATAATTATTTAAGTTAAAATAATAATGTAATATGTTTTTTTATTCTAAAATATAATAAAAAATTTCTTAATACATAATTTAAATAAAATAATAACAAAGTAGTGTTTTTACTGTTCTTTTTTATTTTAATATTTATTTATTTAAGTTTGATATTTTTTATTCTTATTATTTGTAATTCTTATTTTTTTTTCTTGTACCAGACATTGGTTTATTTAATTTCATTTTTTTATTATTGTATTCCATCTTTTATCATAATTTTCTCCTTTATTTTTTGTGAACTCCCAAATTGTAACATTGAGTCTCTTCGTCTATGTTTACATTATTTTTTTTAACATCAAATCTTGTCAAGAGATATGTTTTATATTCTTCTTTTGATTTTTCTTTTCATATTTTCATTTGCAGTCAATTTATTCTCCTTCTCCTTCTTTATTTTATTATCTTTAAATATAAACAAATTCATTGGTAGGTTTAAAGGGTTGACCATAATTTTTGAGCTCTCTGTTATTCTATTTAAGAATATTGTCTTTTTCCTTTAAGAGCTCCTTTAATATATTTTTTTTTTCTAGGTGCATTATTTATTGTAGCATTTCTTGCATCTTGAATAATTCTTTTGAACAATTTTATTTCTTGAAGTCTTGTTTTGCAACAATGATGTTGACATGTTGGTTGATAGGGATTTCTTCTTTAGAACTCTTTGGGTACTTCATAATCATCTTTCAAATAATCTCAAGTTTCTTTGGATAACTTTAGGATCATGATTCTGATGAGAATGATTTGTAAAATACATGTATATAAACATAACTTTATTTTTGTCTTTCTCTTTTTAATTTTTTGTTTGAATTTTGATTTAGATTATGATGAGATTTTCAAGTAGTGCGAATCAACAAGAATCTTCATCCACAATTTTCCATAAATATAAATCTTTAAGATATAATTGCATTATCACAACTCATAGGTTATGATTTTTGTCATCGAAATATGGAATGATGACTTGTGAAAAATTTCTTTCTCCTTCAATTTTACAAGTCTAATAAGAACTAAAGATTTGATACTATAATTGAGATTTTTAAGATTTTTTTGTATATGTATGTATTTTATTTTATATATGAAATATATGATATGGTGAAACTTTTGTATTGCATGTATTTTATTCATATATTCTTTGTATATAAAGTATAAAAATATAACAAAATATTAAATATTAATAATATTTTAATTATAACTACTTAACAATGTAATATTTTTAAAATTTTAAAACCTAATAAAAATCTCTTAATATTTGATTTAAATAAAAAGATAATAAAATCAAGATACGTAGTTTTTATGTATAAGTTACATTATATAATGAAGTTTTTCTCTCACTCATATTTTATTTATGTATGATATATATAGAGTAAAAATATAACAAAATAATAAATATTATAAATGTCTTAACTACCTAAATAAAATAATATAATATTATTTTTTCTTATTCTAAAAAATAATTTAAAAATCTAAAACATTATTTAAATAAAAATAATAAAATATATATTCTCAACGTTCTTTGCTCTAATTTTTTTTATTTAAATTTGATATTTCTTCTTCTTATTCTTGTTTATTTTATTTTCGTTTTAATTCTTGTCGTTTTTTATTTTGTATGAAATTACATATTCATTCAATTTCACCTTCTTTATCTATTTTTTTTTCTCTATCAACTTTATTTTATTTGTTTCTTGTAGACTTCATGGTAGTAATATTGGACGTCAAGAAGACTATTTTTCTCCTTAATATCAAGTTTCTTCAAGAAACATATTTTATGATTTTCTTTTATATTTTCATCCATAGTTAATTTTTATTTCATCAAATCTAAAGACGTTTTCCTTTCATGTGAATTTTTAATATTTTAAAGTTTTGCATCTTTAATCATATAAAATTTGTGTTCAAAAGACATAATGTAATTATTTTCTAATAATTGTGCAATATTGAACAAATTTTGGTTAATCTCAAAATATATAAGATATTAAAAATTATTTTAACACCTGAATAACTTTTAAATTGTAATTGTTCTCATACATTTTTCATCCATATGTTTTTTATTATCAATTCTTATTTTAGAAATAATATATTCGTTTAGCTTTTTAGAAACCATTATCTATAAGTCAATATGTGAGTTTATTGGTTACAAAAACATGTTGTTTTAAGAAGTTTGTATTTTTTTTTCTGATTGGCATATTTTTTCTATATATCCTAATTGATCACATTTATGACATTTACATCTGATATCTATTAATACTTGTTGTATGAATAATTATTTTTCTTATAATTAGAACATATAGAAAATACATGTAAATTGTTACATTGTAGTTCTTGACTCGAGGAACCTTCAATATGATATATAATAAAACACCTTCAACAACATGATCAAATCTCATCAATTTTCATTATTCTTTTGCTTGTAAGACATGTAATAACAAAATAATAAAGATGTCGTATCTCTCTTATATAAATACCAAATTTTTTTCAAGTAGTATATAATTAAGACATTTCTTACCTAACAATTTTATTTGTTAACAATACTTAATCATCTATTTGAATATTTCTTAATTGTCTTACATCCTGTAACTCAAATTTTCCTATTAAATTTAGAATTTTCATATTTCGAATCTTCTCGTCCTTTTGTATTATTTTTTTACATAAACTTAATTTCTTTTGGCGACTTTATTATCGTGATCATGATAAATATCATTTATAAAATACTAATAATACATGACTTTACTTTTTTCTTTTATCTTTTTTAATTTAATTGGACTATAGTAAGATTTTCATATTGCAAATCATTAACATTAACATTAACATAATCATCTAGTACAATTTTTAATAATTCTTTGAAAGATATAATTATATTCTTAGTTTATAAGCCACAACTTTCACTGTTAAAAAATATAATAAAATATAAAATATTAATAATATCTCAATTTTAACTACCTAAATAAAAATAAAAATATAATATTTTTTTATTCTAAACATTATTTTTAAAAACTAAAATATAATAAAAAAATATTTAATAAAAATAAAAATAATAATAAAACATATATTCTCCACCATCACCCATTTTTAACCTAATTTTAACCTACAAATTTCTAATTTATGTAAGAAACTATACCAGCTACCATTAAAGGATTAATGACAAGATTTTTATTTGAATTGTGATTCTCTATCTCAAGAATCAAGTAGCAGCACAAATAGGGAACAGATGCAAATTTTCTGAAACAAACCTGCAAATATAAAACATATCTCAAGAAAAGTAATTGGTGTATAAACATGTAAATTCGTGATTGAATGAGCTTTAATACACAGTCTTTTCCTTAGACGTTCCCGTACTTGGTTTGCATATGTTCACGTCATTTAGACATTCACCAGATATTATTCCTCCAGATTTTAGGACCAAACCAGATGCTACCTTTTTCTTCTGTCAAAATTCCCCATTCCTTTCTCTTTAATTATACATCATTATTATTTATTGAGCTGAATACCAATATAATCATTTCTTTGTACTCTGAACATATCAACAAACATGTTACATATAACATGTGAGTCAATTCAATTCGCCATTAGTTTGAATCGATTTGGGTTAGAAAAAAAAAATGATTGTGAGTTTACGAAGAATATGTTTTAGTGTTTTAGTGTCCGTTGGAATTTAATCACCAATTTGAGAAGAGGGAAATAAAGGATTTGTGAAAAAAGTATTCGAATTGAGCAAAAAAAAATGTTTTCCAGTAAAAGAAAATCACTTTTTTCTCTTTTCTACTTTTCATTACGAGGATTTGTGAAGAAAATAACCCAATTTGAAATGATCTCGTGATGAATCAGTGAATCAGTTTCACACCCTTGATTATGAGTGATGAAGCCAAATTATTTAAAGAAGATTGATAATTAAGAAAATGTGTAAATAGATATTTTGCACCAACATGTTTAAAGGAATTGAAGCAATCATCCACGATGATGACTCTTGAGAAGAGATATGAATCAACTTCAGAAAGGACCACTCTGAAAAGAATCTTCCAGATATATGGAGTCGTCCATATAAAATGTTGATAAGTTTGTACTATGAGATACACCCAGTGAGATAAAGATTGTAGTGTAGATTTTGGTGATGAGGCACATCATCGACCATCTCTTTTTTGATCAGAAAGATTCCTTGAATCAAATGTAATCTTCAACCAATGATCACAGCTAACCCCATTACCATTCATTATGTGGCCAGGATCCAGTGACCATGACTGATGCAACTCCACAGCTATGGAGAGTGCAGTGTACACACATTCACTGCATTCACTTCGAAATGTCTCGAACTTGCATGCAACAACAAACCTATCTATCTCTATGCATTCAACACTTGGTGGTGCCTTCCATTATAATGCTACACCAAGATATTTGCTTCTTAAGGCTATGCTGTGTGGACACAAACAAGGTCTTTGTGCCTTCACTATTCAACACACTTTTTTATGTATCTTGTCTCAATAAATACTTATAAAAAATATTCTTCATTTTTATATTCTCTTTAAAGTATTTGGAAGAAAAAATCATTCAATCACCCAAAAATGTTTTGTAGTTCAAGTTACAGTGCCTTATTTTGAATAAGTAATGCTACTAAGTAATGTAAGAATGGCTTATTTCTTTGAACCAGTGCTTAGATTCAAACATGCATTATTGGCTCTTGAAATTTCAGAGGAAATCTCTACCATATAAATTTGGTAGGTTGATTCATCATGACATCAACTTGAATGTTTGGAGTACTATCACAAGAAAGTATACATTAATTTTACAAAAAGGATAATTTTAACTCTCATTGCCAAATTAACTTTTTCTTCACATCAATTCTGTGAACATATTTGAGACTGCCCTACAATTTCATCTAAAAGACTTTGCAGCATACATGTATGCTCCTTTTAATTAAAGAGTAATCAAAATGACATTTTCGGCAAATTATTAACAAAATCAATAACATTTTTAGTACTTTGGAATTCCAAAATATCATCATCAAGAGCTGGTCTGGTTTAGAAGAATATACTTTACTGAAGCCTACTTGCTAGATATTAGAAACACAATATGTAGTTCCATATGGGGTGGTGGCAATCTAAATCTGAAACAAGTTGCTAGCATCACTACACCGACACAGAAATATGCTTTGCTATGCTTTAGCCTTATGCAAAAATGGATTTAGATATTTATCCATTCCCTACAATTTAATCATAAACATTTTTTAACAAAATACACAGAAGTACATTTATATTTTAATACAAAATGCTCATACCAGCCCTGGTCCATTGCATGAATGGTACACAACAGATAATGATTATGAATGTTTCATGTTCTAAATCATAGTTTAGATTTTTGGTTAGCTTAAGGTATTGCTCGACCAGATCAACAACTAAGCTTTCAAAGTACCAAGATCCATTTAAAGGGTTGACTGATCTTCTTAGCTAAGGATCTTTCCATGTGTAAAGGTTCTGAGATTGAGTTTCTGATCACATGTTTACAAGATGACGTTATCATATTTTAGTTTAAATGCATAAAAAGCAAAAATATGGTTTGTAGATGACAGCATCAAGTAGTTGAACTGTAAAAGTAAAAACTGAAAATAGACCATTAGAAAAAAAAAATGGAAGGCATGAAATTGAAGATCAGCTATTTGTTGTTGCTCAGATGACGGATAGGAGTCATGAAAGTCATTTTCCACAAGGCTGGCTATTGCAAGAACTAGCAAAATCTAGTTTGTAACTCTAAAAATAAACAAATACACACAGAAATCAAGTTTAAACATTAAAGGCTTGAGGCTTGCTTGCAACTTAGCTAAGATATGAAAACTCCTGCAAGATGTGGAGAACACTATATTTTATTATCTGCCTCTCTAATGCCAAAATGTAAAGCCTATCTTTAGGTTCTTTTCCCTGACTCACTAAAACTCAGTAGAAGGGTCATTTGTAACAACTAAGTGGTCCAAAAGACCTGAAAAAAAGTTCATTGTGTCCTTCATTGCAGTATACCAATAAGCCTTTTAAAGAACAAAAGTTATGGTGTAATCATTCATTACTGTTTTTGGAAAAAGGGTTAGTGAAAGTCTCTTTCACTTGCTCATGAACAAACAGACATATGTCACTTAAATTTTTCTTTAATTGTCGTGGAATTTGTGGGTTTTGCTTATGGCCAAACAGATGAAGGAGCTAGCTCGACTCAACCCTCAACCCACGTGTTTACTTTTGCCAAAGGCTCTCAAGCTCCATACTTTATTTTGCAGTTATTTGGTTATTCTCTTGAACTAATCAGGATATTAGAATAATTGAAAATTAATAATTCTCATTAGTAATTCCCCAATGAAACTTGTTCTTTCATCATAAACAATCTCAATTTAGGTTACTATAAATCTTTTAGTACTAAGAATTATTTAATCTCTTGCCCATGTCATGAGGTTAAGGTTACATACAAGGATCCTGCAGTTCTAATTTTCTTTTGTGCGTGTAAATTGATATTCCAATGTGTTTCCCTCATCGACAATGGCTATTGTTCAAGGTTATGTCTCTCAAAAATTGAGAAGACACATTGCTTAAGCTAAACACAAGCTAAGTAGTCACTGTTATTGATGGATGAGAGGACACATTGGCCTCGGTATACAAGACACGCTTGGGCCCTCTAAGTAATGATCAACAAACACAAAATAAGAGAAGAAATACAAATTTTCCTTTTCTCACAAGCTGAAAGAAACTCATGTATTCAATTTCTATAGAATCGTTCTTATTTGTCGGTTTCAAAAGTTGAAATATATAAATAATTTTGACTTGTATAAGAAGCTGAATTCATCTTATGATCCTAATTTTGTCTTTTTTAAGTGTTTGTGAAAAGGTTTATCTAAAAAACCTGATCTGAAACCTAGTAGAGAGGTTGGAGGGGGGGCTCCACAGCTAAAAAAAGAGTAGTAGGTAATCTATACGACCTATCTTTCTGATTTAGAGCAGACAATAATCATTGTACGGGTGAAACTGGCCAGCTAGAGTGTTGGAATGTTGTTCAGGACAAACTACATTCACAATTAAGATCACCTGCAATGATGGAAAACCAAAGGGGGATTTTTCTTTGCAATAGTACTATTCTGAACAAGATATTGTGGTGTGTGATGCATTCGTGAAAGCTCTGATACCTGCTTCATCTTGGACCCACTTGAGACCATGCAAGCAGGAGAATAAAATAAAGCTAGCCATTATCTGACCTAGTTGAGGGGTCTCTCACATACGTTTTTAGTATCTGAACCACAACTGAAAATTCACTGTTTAATACTAAGAAGTTAGTTGGTCGTGTCCATTTGCTCAACCACGTGATATCTCTAAGGTGCTAAACACATTCAAATCATCAACTTGAGGAAGTGTCTAGTTTCACTACCTTGAGACATAACAAAGTACAATTTTAATTTGATGTGATCTGTGTGTGTGTGTGTGTGTGTGTGTGTATATATATATATATATACATGTATCAAGAAAAAGTAAATGGGGGAAGCCAAAGAGGGGTTAAAACTAGTACTTTTGGAAAGTTCTATCAATTCACTCACTTATTTTACTGTTTGAAGATACTGATTCTCCCATAATGCAGCTTAACTTCTTGGTCCTTCTCTATTCTGTGGTTCCTGAGGAGACAAATCATTCGAATTCTACTTCATTTTGACAAGATTTGCATTCCAACTGGCTCTACCCCACTTTACACTCTCCACCTCTGGTTATAAAAGGAGCACACATTGTTTCCTCCCTTCAATATCAATTAACTCTTCTGATTCCTTGGTGTCTTCTTGTTCTATATACAGACTCATTCTTTTCTACTTTTTCTTAACACCCTTTGAGTTAGATCGTTTTCTGGAGTGATCCTCAGATCTAAACTGTTGATTAATCACTGCCTTCAAGAAATGGCATCTAGCTCAATGTCTGCCACTGGCTCATGGAGTGCCAAGGACAACAAAGCCTTTGAAAGGGCTCTAGCTGTATATGACAAGGACACTCCTGACCGTTGGTACAATGTTGCTAAGGCTGTTGGTGGAGGGAAGACCCCAGAGGAGGTGAAGAGGCACTATGAACTCCTCCTCAGGGATGTTAGGCACATTGAATCAGGGCAAGTGCCATTCCCAAATTACAAGCAAAGTGGAGGTTCTGAAGAGGAGAAAAGGTAGTGCATTCTATGTCCTTTATCTGTGAGTAACTAGCTTTTTGGTTGATATCTCTATGTTCCCCACCTACCTACTACTATCAAACAAATGCTATTTCTACTTTTCTGTATCTGGTTTCAACAAAACTTTACTTCTTCAAATAGTCACAACAACATCACTAGCAAGATTAATCATAAACATGTAAGAGGACCATATGTTTGACCCTTAAGCATACTGCTATAAATTATAAACAGCTTATTGGAATGTAACAATTCATCAGATACTTTCATGAGTCAAACAAGATCTGCATGAGCTTTTCAAATGACCCCTAAATTTGTGAGCATCTACTATGCAAAACATCCATAAAATTCTAGGAAGAACGAGTTTTCAACCACAGAGCACAAGTTTCTGTTGCAGTAGTTAATTACATGAACAAATTCATCTACCAATAACTCTGAAAAAACCTTTTTATTTGCTTATTCAGAACTTACTTTCTTCATGCTCTCTTGCTCTTAACTTGCAGGCTCAGAAACATGAAGCTCCAGTGACCAATTGGCACCAAGAACAAAGAATATTCTGATTTTCACAATCTAGCAATTTTTCTAGAATCCTAGTGTTACGTAATGAGTAGCACTAGTGACGTAGTAGAATTGGACTTTCATTCATAAGAATCGTGTCGTGTCCCATGATTCCATGTTGTATTGTCGTTGAAGTTGTCTTGGAGAATCAACGACTCTGTTTTAGTTCCCATCATTAATAAAAACTTCAATTCTATGGAATTATTTGTCATTTACCCATGTTTGACAGTTTATCTAGTTACACATGAATCCATGCACAAAACAAACATGAAACTTGTTCAAATTTGATTGGAAAATTACACCAATAATTTTTTGGAGATTGGTGACAAATCTATCATTTTATTTAATGATCATGAACAAATAATATATTATTAATAAATAATAAATAAATATATAAATATATATTTAAATTATCATTAAGTTTTAGATCAAAATTATAAATAAATATAAATATAAATCATCAAAATTATAAATAAATATAAATATAAATCATAAAACTTTGGAGTAATTATGATCCCTCATCTCCAATTAAATTCTCCAAATATCTCATTTATATAAATAAATTCATTTACTATTAAAAAAATAATTAAAATAAGTTTATTCATTTAATCTTATGGATAAATAATGATCCGTCTAATATTTTCAAAATTCAATGGATATTCTACTTAATACTTAATAAATTACTTCTATCTTAAAGTTTTTCTAAAAATATGTTTTTTCAAAATTTGTTAACAAGATTGTAAAATATGTTTTATAAAATAAAAATAATTAAAATTTAATGGTATCTCTCAAATCAAAATTTAATGTTGTGATATTATTAATTAGAACGAACTACTTAACTACCTTTATTAGTCTTCTTTAATTAAATATTTGTTTTTTATATATCAAACTTGAGATAGTATTATATTTTTGATGAATTTGATAAAGTTTATTAAATATTTTTATAATAAATCAAAATGGATTTATGTGTTATTTTTATCCAATTTATTATAATTTGAATTAAAAGTTATGTGAACTGTTCATTTTGTCATTCTCAAACAATAATTATAATACTATATCCAAATTTTTTTCTTAAAACAATTTAATTGCTAAAATTATATAAGAAAATTAAACTAATTGTTGATTTTTGAAATCAATATGAAATGTGGGGGGTGGAGGGGGGGGGGGGGGAATCTGTTACTCGAGTTCTAAAAAAAAATAGAAAATATTTTAAAAAAGAAATAAATTTTACTTTTTATAAAAAAAAATATATTTGAATTGAATGATATAAAGCTTCTTTTTCTAAATCAAATTGGAACGTATAAATACTAACAAATAATAAAGTCTAATTTAACTACTTTATATTTAAATATAATAAAGGTGATATTCAAATTGAAAATTTGTTATTTTAAATTATTTTAATTATTTAAAAAAAATATGAATTAATTGAAAAAGTCTTATAAAAAGAGACTGAAAGTTATTTTTTAAAATTCCAATTAATTATGGATATTTCAAACAAATAATTAATGTATTGTTAGTTTAAAAAGAACCATATAAGATATTTTTTTCTTCTGAAAATAATGTTGTAAATGGAAAGGAAGAGTAGTATATTTAAATCAAGAAAATAAATAAAAAATGTGTACATATATCATTCTCTTTATTTATATAGTTAATTAAATTAAAACTTAATTAATATTATTAGATTTCCTTTTCAAAAGACTGATGTAGAATTATTTATTGATTTTTGTGTCTCCGAAAAGCATTATCTATCTCTTTCTTCAGTTGTCTCTTGTGGCCGCTATGCGACACCGTTCCGTACAATTTATTATCATTTCATTGCCCACAAAACTTACTTTTTCTTCTCTTTTCTCCGTCCATTAATCTTTAGCCACAAGTGGAAACAAAAATAGCTCCAAATATGTCAACATACTTTCTACAACATTCTTCTTTTATTAATGATAATAACTAAAAATTATACATCTTTTATAGATCTCATATCTATATCAAAAAATCTCATTGAAAAAAATTAATTAATAATAAAAATATTAAAACAAAAGTGTTGCTAACGCAATTCAAAAGCCACAGAACAAGTAAGGATTGGGTGAATGGGCCATGACAAAGACACCAGAAGGAGATCTTTTCTTCCCTTCAAAAGTTATTCTGCATCCCCTTTTTCTTTTAATGTTTAAAAAAATTTTAATGTTGATCTTTATAAATTAAGAGAATAATAAAAAGGCGGAATCCATTGAAATTCCAGAATGTATCAGGCATGTGTTCTTGATGAAATAGTAGTAATCCAGATTATATTGTAAGAATAGTTACCCAAAAATATTAACAGTACACTCTCTTTCTCATATTATTTATCATTGCATAATTATTCATAAAGTAAGAAGCTACATTAAGTTTTGGAGCAAAATATTTCTAACTCAGCTACCATAATTCAACTATGAAAAAACCTAACATCACCTTCTAACATACTATTTTGAATACACTCTTTTTGTTGGTTTCACTTTTTATTTAGCAAGTCTCTTTCCTAATTTCATAATAATCAACAAAGTTTTCAAGTAATCAATAGTAGGATGTGTGTTAGAAAAGATGTATTGGGAATACTCCTTTAGTTAAAAAATACTCAGGCATAGAAAATATACTGATAAAAACAACCAATGCATGGGGTTGTCACACAGAATTTTTGTTTCAAACAGTTTTTATGTATTTATTGAAATCCTCATACAACTATGTTTCCGGTGATATTATAACAACATGCCTCAGTCAAAATCTAGTGGTTCAAGAAACCTAGTCTTGTACAGTTGTCCGAAGAGGCAGACAACTTTCAACTTCTTTGGAAGCATTGGAGTGCCCTTCTGTAACAGCCTTTGACAAACCAAACATCTGAAATTGATCCAAAACCACACTTTATCAGCAAATGATAAAGGTGACGAGAATGATTTTTCTCAAGAAATTTCAGGTACCAACCTTGTGAATCGTTTTCTTAAAGCAACTTTTGTGTTCATCCACGGAAGCATTTATAAACTCGTCAATGTGATCCTTCAAATCTTCCAAGAAAGCAGCTTGTTCATTCTTTTTCTTTCGACATGAAGTAACGGCAGGAGCAGTAGTGTTGGAAGAAGACTGCTTTTCTGGTTGTCTTTTCTGAGTGTCCATGCTTTCCAAGACTCTGATAGCTGAAACAATTTACACACTAACAGAATTATCATCAATAAATTTAGTAAACCATCATTATCACACACATACACTGTGCTATCATCATTTACCGAAATATTAAAATGCAATAATTTTGATTTAACTCGTCCTATTAAGGCAGTGCCTTAAATTTATGGAGAACTAAAAGGCAATGGAACACAATTTGAATTTCTATGCATAATATTTTAGAAAACATAAGAGAAAACGCAAGTCATATCCTGCAGGAAAAGAGAACAACCAGATAAAACCAAACATATAAAATCATACGAACTACAGTTTTTTTAAAAGATTTAGTTAAATTTGAACCAAACATCAAACTAATAAATTCAAACAATGAACAAAGGTCACAGTAGTATCAACCTTGGGACTATGCCATCAAAGGAAAACACTTGAAGCTTAGTAGATTACTACCAACTGATCTCTTCCTATCTAAACGGATGTCACAGCATCCAAGTCTAATTAATACTTCCATAAAGTGTACTAACAAGTATTTTAGAAAGTTGCTCAAGAGTATTGAACAAATGGAAATTAACTAACCAACATGTAAAGATCTTTTAGAGGGGAAAAAGGTAAAGAAAAACTGCATGACAAACAAAAAATTAAAACATCCATAAACTAGCCTTCACAACGAAAACACATGTCTACTAAAATTATCTTGCTATATATAAAATGTATTTCCTTCCCAAATTATTCATATTCAGAGTTAAGATAAAAACTCTATACAATCACAGTAGTCTCATATTGGCAGTGAGGCAGCTAAATTTTAAAATCTGGAGGAGTTACCACTGTCATAGGTTAAAGAAAATAATGAAAAACACTTTGAAAGTTCGAAAATCACCGACAAACACAAAGTCAAGTTCAAAAGGCATTTAAGCAGAGGGAAGAGAAGAAAACTAAATCATACTACATTCATCCCAAGTCGTCCAAACATGGTTATACAAAAGTTAATCATGCACGCTATAATCACCAAAACATATTAAATTGACCACATAAAATAAAAGTAATATACAAAATTGAATCATAATATTCACAAGCAAAACAGAAAATATATATAAAAAAATAAATAAGAATATTTAAACAGTTGATGATTCTTGAAATGTATCAAATTCTCTACAACCACTTTGATCCTTGCTACCACCCGTGCCCCAGTTTACACCCACTGGAAAATAACCAAACGCAGAACCACTAAACTCGCATACACAATCCTTCAGCTCCCTATAACGAGTATTACACACAGATCCCTTTCCCATCTTAGGTCATCACTGCATTATACCACCTCATCATCATGTCCTCATGGTATGGTTGGTCATTTAAACTCTTTGGCCCTATTGGCAAGTTAGGCACAAATCATTCATGAACTTCACCTAAAAATTTAAGCGTTGAGGGGAGGCAGTTATTGAGAAGAACAAATACTGAAAGTAATAATTTCATAGGGCATTTGACGCAATGGGAAAATGAAAACAACATAATTCTTTGAAAAATATTTGTCTGCTTTTCAATAATTAAATAAAATATGCTTAGGTCAATTTAGCTTCAAAATTATCTGCAAAAAGCAATGAACAGTAGTAAAAGATAAAGCAAGAAACGAAGATCATCAAAACCTGATTAAGAGTCCAAATTCACCGAAATAAACAAAGAGAAAAAACAAGGTACCTGGTTGGAGATCTTCGAAATTGATTCAGAGACTCAATCACAAACTTCGCTACGGCGAGAAAGTGGTCGAAATCTATACGACAAAAAAACCTTTACGTTATTTTAAGGTTTGTCCTCGTAAATTTCAGAATTATCCATATGGTCCTTACTAACTTATAACTTTTTTCGCATTTTATTTCTCCATTAAAATTTTACCTCTTTTTTTTTTTTTTTTTTTTTTTTTTTTTTTAGTGTTAGAAATTGGGTGATTGGATGAGATATCTAGTTATTCAAGGGTGAGTTGATGAAAACAAAAATTATAAAATAGATAAATCTGACTATTGATATGAAGTTAAGATATTAATTAATATTTATTCATAAGACTTTTTCAATTAATTTATAATTTTTAAAAATTAATTAAATTATTTAAGATAATAAAATTGTCAGCCATTTGTATTGATTTTTTAATATTACTCTTATTATCATATTTAAATATAAAGCAATCAAGTGAGACTTTATATTTATCAGTATTCATATTTTAAAATTTGAAAGAAACTTTATTTGATTCATAATTTTAAATATTTATTATTATTCTTTTAGTAAAAACATTTCAATCAATTTAGAGTATTTTGGAAAAAAATAATAATAAATTCATCACAAAATGGATAGTTTCTTAAGAGAGAGAAATAAAAAAAAAGTTAAAAAACTTATCTGTAAATTAAAATTAAATTAAATTACAGATTAACAATTTTATATAATTTTTCCAAACTTTTACTTTTTGCCTTGTCCTTATGCTAATTATTTTTATTTATGGAGAAATTTCTTTCATTTTTTCTTATTTTATTTTTTCGAAAAGTCCTCCCAAAGATGTTTTTCCAGACAGACCTTAATCTATAAAAAATTAGACAAAATTTAGCTCCATAATATCTTCCAATTCAATTTGTTCTTTGGCATGTAAGTAAAAAACATGCAGCATGTATTATACCTAAGTGAACATATGAATAAGGATCTTACTTAAATATGCTTCCAAAAACCTTAGGAACCAACAGGTTATTATAAAGTTTCCAATTTGGTTTCAGTATATGTTGAGGATTATATAAAACTGAAACTATATCATCACTTTCCCCATCAAGGATAAACACAGTTTCAGGTGGAAGCACTAGCATATCAAGAATGATGTTTAACAACAACATTTGCATCCATTAATCTTTAGTTATGTATACAATGGCTCATAATATTGACACAAAACAAACTTTGATGTGTTTTTGTAGCAAAAGTGGTAACCACCTGATGCACCTACGATTCAATGTTCTCGCTTGAGGTCTGGGGCTGGATTTGAGCTTCTACCTGAATCTGGGAAAGATCAGGAGCTGTGCTTTCAGGTTGAGCAGATGATGATAGTTTGGCCTCGCTAGGCGCCGACACTTCGGTAATTTCCGGTGGCTTGAACTTGTTGATATAGTAAGTAAGTGATGGACCTGAATATTCAGGTGGCTGGATCTGAGGAGGAGCATTCTTACTAACTTGTAGGAGTATTGAGGATGCTGCTGCTACCGAGATCAGGGCAAGGCCAGCAACAATTGCTGCAGTGTTCTCAGCGCCATCAGAAGAAGAACCAGCAGTTCCTGAACTTATAGCACTTTCTGCCACATAAACGGCTGGCTGAAAACATAAGGTATTATTAGACAAGTTGGATCATATTTCTCTTTGTTTTCAAGTTCAGAACAAGCATGTGCTAGATAGGAGATATAAGGTTGGCTTGATGGTAAAAAATGAAGGGGAAGAGGGATAGGTCGTAAGTTTGAATATCAGTAGAGACAATTCTCACTTTATAAGTTAGTTTTGAGGTTGAGTTTGACTTAAATTCTAAAAACATGAATTCTTCAATTTGACACAAGCTGCCAATACCAACTACAAGCCTCAGAACTGATATATAACACTAACAATAAATGCATGATTGCCTAAATAATAGTCCCTTATCAGTTATCACACTACCAAGATTTGCTAATTGTTTCCATGCTTCCAAAATGGACATGAAACATCAACAAACTAAAGAAAAATATCATGTAAAAAAAGTCCAAGAGAACATAATAAAACATTGCATGCCATTAATTAGTTAGAAAGGATAAATACCAACCTCAACTGAATATATGTTTGTCTGACCAGCAGTGTCCTTCTCAACATATCCAGTCCAACCGGGCTTCCGACGCGGCGGGAATGTACCGACTACTTTTGTCTTCTCCCCGGCTAACCATTCCACACTGACCTTGCCAACCTAAATCAACACCAACAGAGAATTAATTAGCTTCCTTTGTCTGTGATCAATGCAGAAGCTATACACACAATGATATACAATTCATCATTTGTTAATGCAAGAATATACACTGGACATGGCGAAGATAACATGGCATAATAATTGGTAACACATTAAAAATTAGGTGAAACTGAAGTATTTCACTAACACACAATGACATAAAGTGGACTTTCTATATTATCCTTAGTATCATTGCATACATATCAAAACATACATAATGTTTGGATACCTAATTTGCACCCTCATTTTTTCACAGAATTTGCATTCAGTACAAAAACAGAATTCTTCTAACTAGGGAATGAACTGTTTGGAACTATAAAGTAACGTCCAAAAAGGAATAAGAACACGATATCCAGGTTGTAAGCTATATAAGAAATGTCAATTCCATAACTACAGATAGCACAAAACAGAAATTGCATATCAAAAACTTTGAGGCTAACTTAACTTCACAATATAAGTCGGGTATTCCTAGCATTGATCTGATGATAAAGATCATTTCCAAATCATTCCAGTCACAACAACTAATCATGATAACATTTCACAAATACTACCTTAAATTGACCAAAAGTCCACCTCTCAACTGAAAAACCATTATAGTAGATTACGCTGGCACTCAGATTTTCTCAGATTACCCACAATAAGCTTCTTCTTTAACTAATCGAAAAATATTACTCTGACAATCTTCATATCATACACGAACCCTCATTAATTGTTTGAAAAACATTACATGGGTACCCTGCTAAGGGATGTTGATTTAAAGATAGAAGAATAGTGTGTGATATGAAAAAAGTTCAGGAAGTGTCAATGTAATTTATTCAAATCAGTATGACCCTTAAATTGGCCAATAGCCCAAAACTAATAAGCAATATTAAAATTCTTCCTCTCCCAACTTCTTCACGGGGATCTACATGCAGAACAACAATGTACCAAGACAACATGTAAATTTAATTATAATACTTAAAAATCTTATTTTTCATTAATTCCAATCCCAAGTTCCCATTTTTCTTCTATAATATTTTCCACAGCCAACCAAACAGGCACGAGAAACAAAACGAATGGAACAAAACACCTCACAAAATCCAAAATTGATTAAGAAGACTAAGGAACTCACTTCCTTATCCGGGGCACATTCTTCCTCATTGCAGTCAGAGTCATCGGAATCAGCTCTAACAGTGAACAAACTAAACCTTCTCTTACTGGTCTTTGGGTACTTCAAGGAGAATCTCCTGGAAGAAAAGGCACAGCTGTTGGCTGCTAAAGTTGCATGAAATGCACAAGCCATTATTGGGGTAAGTTTAAACCAAAATGGTTTCAAAAGAGAAAACAACAATAAAGGGTTCCAAAAAATTTAGGATTTTGAAGGAGATCTTGGAGTTTTGGTTTAGTGGGTGAAACTGAACAGAATTTTGTGTGTGTTGAGGATTGGTGTTTCGTGGCTGAGCTTTGGCCTTCAAGGGAGACAAGTTGAGTGGGATATGTCATGTGTGGACACATGGATTGGAAAGGTAAAGTACCTGTGTTGTTGGGAAAATATCTGATGGAAAGAGTTCCATGTTGTTGAAAAAAAGATCTTTGATGCTGATTCCAATCTTTGTGGCCACAAATATGACGATTTCTGGTTTTTCAACAAAAATTTCTTGGTTCAACATTTTTAGTGCCTTAAATCTCAATTTTTTTAGTAATAAATAAATAGTGCTTTAACTATATTTTTTATATTTATGTTTGATTCAAATATATTTCTATATCTTATCTTTAAAATTTAATAAAAAACTATTATTCAATTAACTAAATTCAACCTAAATAATTAGGTTGAATTGAGTCAAATAAAAAAATTATATAAATCTAATTCAACAAAAATTTGATCAAATCCAACACATCTTAATTTAATACTTTTTTTATTAAATTAGATAATGGGTTACATCTAACCTAACTTAACAAATTATATTTTCCTCTATTTAAAATGGATAAATAAATTTTATATATATATATATATATATAAATGAAATCTACTAAACTTGAGTAAATATAAATTAGCAAAATCATAATTTACATTAAAGGAAGAAAATAATATAAAGAGAAACCAATGAAAAATTGTGTCAAATATTTTAAATTTGTACCTCTTACATTTCCAATTTGAAATTCTATAACTCAAAATAGTGAAATTAGTTTTATAAATTCATAGAATTTTATTATATTTTAAAATTATTCATTCATATAATATATTTTATCATAAAAAATTTGAAAATTATTTAAAAAAATAATTACCCTTTAATCTTAAATTTGTCAATCCTTTTATACGTTTATCAACTTGTTTTAATTGTAAGATTTGAAGTTAACACGAGCTCTCCAAAATTTACACGTGACAATATCGTTATGAAAATTGAAATAAATAATCATTCATTTTATAGGGATTAAAATTATATTTATTTATTTATTTTATATTGAATTTTATGTATAAAGCTTACACTTTTGATAGTCTACTTTACACAAGAGGTGTATTAATAGTTGTTTGAATGAAATTTTTGATAAATTAAAATTAATTTATAGATAAATAAAATTTGTAAATTTATATTTTTTTTACAAATTAAAAAATTAACTTAAAAATAAATTAATATAAATTTATCAAAAAGTTAATTTCAATTTTTATTTTATATGTATTTATGGAAAATTTTGTCTTAGCATGTGTATTACAAATATGAAAAAAAGAATTAGGAAGGATTTCATATTTAATTTTGTTAGAATCGAAAATCATTTTTAAACTAAATAAATGTTAGAGACAGAAATTTATTTCCTTAATTTATAATTCAAATTATTATTTTGACTATTTTGCCCCTCTGTGTCTGAGTTGGGTTTTTGGGGGCGGTTGTTCATAAACCCATAAGCCTGGTTCGACGCATAATTAACCCGCGAGTTCAATTCTTTGGCGCCACATTTTTTCAGTTCGTTTTGCTCAGACACCGAAACATGCGAGAACCTTCTTCCATGGCAACCCAAGCTCTTCGTCCTCCTCATTTCTCCGAGGTTAGTTGGGCTTCTTCGCTTTATTCCTTCGTTCTTTTTTATTTATTTGTGTATTTGTTTTTATTAATGGCTGTGAAAAATTTAATCTGGCTTCAAGTGATATATAGGAGCTAGGCTGAGAAATTTGTTTCTTCCATTTTGGGTGGGTGTTTCTTCGATTTTGTAATATAACGGATCTTGTTTTTACTTGTTGATGATACATTGATTTGTAATTTTTAATGCTGAATTTTTCTGCAAATATCTGGTTTTAGATTTTTTACGGGTCTGTAAGTGTAGTATGTATACTTTGAAATTATAGTTATAGTTTTGAATTGATGCTCATAGCTGAAGTGCAATAATTGCGGATCGGGATGTCTTTCCAATCACATCGTGGTTGCAATTGCAGCTGCATTGGCTACATTTGCTTGAAAACTGATCATCGTGATTATAATTGTTGTTGTGTGTGTGTCATCCTAATAACTGATTTTGGTCTTTGTTTACGGTGTTGCATATAAGACAGGTCTATGATTATTATGCTTTTTATATCTTCAATTTGTAATTGTATGCGGCATATGAACATATCGCAGGAAGTAGCTTGGCTTCCATGCTGGCTTCAGAGTCTAGGAACGAATGGCTCTATTGAGTTTGTTAAGGAATCTCAATCAAAGGTTGGAATATTTCCCAGATTATTCTCTCTCTCTCTCTCTCTTATTGTGTGGGTACAATTTCTATTCTATTCGAGTAGAACTTACAGTGTCCATTTTTTTAATTTCAAGTCATATGTATTGTTTCATATTTAGTTCAATTTCCACTCGCTGCATCTATTTTTGTTATTCAACTTTGAAAGTTGGGGAATATTAGATTGGCCTATTTTTTTGTTGATGCATTCTATTCTTTGGAATGAACAAGTATCCAGGACCTTCTCAAGAAACTGGTAATGACGGAAAAGATTTCAATGCAATATCAAGGGAAGAAGGTAGATATAGAAGTTGTCATTTATTCTTATCTGGAGATGACAGTTCACCTATTAGTGTTGCTTCATCTCCTGAAAATGTGAGTTTCTTTTCTTTTTTTCTTTCTTTTTAATTGATCAAAATTTAATGAATGGTACATCTATTACATATTCCTCCTTCTAAATACCACAAGCAACAAACTAACTCAAGTCATTAATTGCCTTCTACATGTTTGTAACACCACATATATAATACTACAACTGTTATATACATCCATAATAGCCCAAATGCATAGATACTAATAATTTAGATCCATAACTGCCTAAAGAGTGCAAACATCTTATCTGTTCATACTTTGCAATTCTTATTTGCCAAAACGTCTTTGTGTTTTGTTTATTTATATGCTAATTGATTCAGTGACAGGTTGTTGTGTATCAATTTGTTACTTGTAAATTGTAATAACAAGCATGGACTTGAATGTTTGGAGTAACTGGCGAAAAACTACTTTTGGAAGATTATTCCTTTGCTTTTAGTCAATTTCTCTGAGTTATTTAAATGTCACCGTTTTCAACAATCTACACTAACACACTTATCTTCCAAAATCTATTCTTGTGAAATGTTTTTGTTAATTTTATTTCTGAGATACTAGGTAAATTACTTAAACTGTTATAAAGCTATGAGTTCATTGATCTATTCATATTTCCATTCAAGCAGGTGTTTCACTTTAGTCTGCGTCTCTCTTCAGATATTAATTCACTCACTTACCCGACCCAAAATTTGAATGAATCTCGTGATGTTGTTGCACCAAGCAGAGTATTGTCATTGCAAGCTATTCAACCTTCTACCAATTTTATGGAAAACATGCATTCGGTGATGGATCCTCTTATATGTGGACTAGATTTGCTGCCTGCCTTCATCCCTGAAACTGTGGAAAAGGATGCTTCAAAATCTCTCCTTGATGCAACTGATTCTGTTGAGAAACAGAAAGAAGAATTTGAGGTTAAAGGTTTCGAAGGTGCTGATGTCAGTAATGCAGTTGAACTTTCTATTGCTGCATCTGAGGCATTGGTCATACATGATTTGGCGAAGTTGGACTCAGTTTCAGAAACAATGCGTGCAGAAGCTGTACTTGAAGTTGCACTTCTTGTGAAGCAGGCACGTCAAGGGTTGGAAGATGGCTTTCAATCCTCAAAAGAGGAATCTGACTATAGTGATTCGCTTTCGGATTTGAATGATTTCATCATGGAAGATGCCTATGAAGATATAGGCCTACCAATTGGTGTTCCTGTTGAGAATAATCTTTGCAGTTCAACTATATTTCAAGCAAAAGGTATGTCCAATGTTGAAAAGGGTAGTGGAGGAAATAAAGAACATAGTGATGATGAGCGTACTTCTCAGCTTGACAATTTTGATGATAAATCTAAAAAAAAGCAGTTAGAAGTTACTGTGGAGAGGGAGATGCAGCAAAATACAGACTCACCTCATCATTCTTTACTCTGTGAGAAGGAAATGCATTCTGATGATCCTGGTTTGGGTGAAAACGCTCTCAAACATTCCGATAATAGGCTTCCTATTTCTCATCAGTGCAAGGGGAATAGTATCAAGCTACCAAACAGTGTCAACTCATTACTTGTTGAAAATTTTGAAAATTTCAGTGAGTTTTAATATCTTTTTCAGCATTTTCATTTGCTTTCTTTCTCCAGTATTCAAAGCTTATCTATTTTCCTTTCTTAAATGATTCAGAAAAGGAGAATGGGGCAACTTACCCAGCTCCAGAAAGATTTAGAAGCCGCTGGTTAGGGGGGTGGACATGTAAGGTGTGGTGTTTCTTCTTTATCCTTCACCTACCATTTCTTTTAGTCATACAAACTGCCAATTTTTTTTTTACATTCTAGTTATCACAATCGTGTTTAGTTTAGACTTTGACACCCTCAAATTCATCATCGAGTCATGTTGAAACTAAAGGGCTATCGCCTTTTCTAGAGAAGAGGGAAGGTGTGATGCGAGGATATTGCTTTAACATGTTTCCTAATTTTTTTTATACTTGCTAAATGTTAAATATAGCAAATGCAGCACATGTTAATGTCTGTAGGATTTGATTAAGATTAACATTTATTAGGGATATTATTGCTGTCAATATAAACATAAGTCTGTGTGGTCAACATTTGACACCACAAACCTAATAATATTAATACTTTGTTCCTTCATAGTTAACAACTCACGGAATGATGTTAAGAAACAAGTACCATTGTAGTGAAGTTGTGATAATAACCCTTTGTGACAATTTATTGCTGCAACCTGACATAAAACCAATATATTCATAATAACTGAATTTTATTGTTGATATAATAATGATTCTAAAATCTTAAAAATGGTCATATGACGAGTCTTTGAACTCTTTCTTTAGAAGAAGCTTATTTCTTAATAATGATTCATAATAACTGCTAATTTTACTTTGCCTAAAATCATCTAGTTGGGTGTCACAGTTTTTTAGTCTGAGATATTTGCTAATTATTAGGGATAGTTGGTATCTGATGGAAAAAAGGGACTGTTGTTCATAGAATTTTTTCTGGTTGTATGGAACATTCTGCAAGTTCCTGATGAATAGTGAGGATAGGGTAGCTATCTATTCATGGTTGTTGGTTGTGTTCCTCCTATCGATGCTATTTAATGAACACTTGTCTGGTGGTGGAACAAAAAGAATATAAGCATACCTGATTTTCTACATATTTGAATATCCATCTATGTTGATGGCATAGAAACCACGGTTTTCTTCTCAGTTGCCAGTGCGGCTGTGTGAAATGCTAAATTGTCATCTAAGGAAGGGGAACTTTTGTTATGGTTGGAGGCAAATTTCCATCAAATCATATTCTTTCTTTTACTAAGTGCCTGCCCTTTTGTTCCTTGTTTACTTTCTGTAAGCTATCCCTACAATTTATGTTCATTTAAAAATTTGCATTCCTTTTCTCAGATTATTTATATTCTTTCATGGATCTAAGCATCTTGATACCCTGTCTTGTTTTTCATGTATTTTTACTCTGTTTTCCTTTTGGAAGGAATTAGATTCATCTTCATCAAATAAAAAAAATGCAGAATGGATTCCAAAGTTTCTTGTCAGAGAGACAAGCTTTCTTACAGAATCTGTAGATATTGTTCCTGATGAGAATTCTTGTGTGCTGAGAAATGACCCCACGCGTGCCATTGGCTCTCAGCTAAGTATGCCTTTTGAAGACTCACACAACAAACCTGATGAGAGCATATTGCAGTCTCAAGATGTCATCAGATGTTCTAGTCTATCATTAACTGATCCTCTCTGTTCAGTTGTTCCGTGTAGCCTTTCCTTAGAGCATGTCAATTACAATGCTCATATTGACAAAAACAATGATACTGAGGATTTTGTCCCATCCGTTTCTGAATTTGAGGTGGACAATTTTCAAAGGATCTTGGATAAGAATGTTAATATTTGCTGTAGTGATGAGAAAATTATGTCTGTGCTAGATGGTAAAGATATTCCAATCACAGAAACAAGGATGGATGACCAAGTCACTGGGAAGTTAACGAGGGTTGAACATACTTCTCTTAAGACTTATAGCACGATTGTACCAAACCAAGATCTCAACCTAGACTATAATGTGACTGAACTTCCAATCGACCAGAGTATGGGTAGTGCAGCATCTTTGGGCACAAAGATTTGGGAGAGCCTATCTGCTTCAAAGCATGCAGATGGAAACAAAAATAAAGCAGATAATCAGCATTCGGTTGATCACAAGTCAATTACTGAAATAACAAATTACAAGTGTGGTGATGAGTTAAAAGCAGCAAATGCATGTGGCATTTCAGCAGAACCAACACAAGACAGAAGATCACCAATTATTCTAAACAATCGCATACGACGGCGCTTGCTGGGCCCTATGAATGTTGCAAATGATGTCAGTGTAGAGAAAAATATGGAGCAGGATGGAGTATCAGAAACTGTCATTCAAAATCAACAGAATAATAATATTAATGAACTGCAGATTGAGGGTAATAAATTCCACAGTAGACATTTTAGAGTCAGAAAGAAGGTACATTTTTCAGAAAAAGTGGAGGAGCTTAATCCGAAAAGGAAATTATCAAAGTTGGAATCCTCACATAAAAGATGTAAGTTTTTTTTTTTTTTTCAGTTTGTCTAATTGCTAAGAGTCCAATCAACTATCCCAAAAGCTTAATGTGTTAGGTGAAAACACATTAATGGTTTATATTTCATGGCTAGGAGGTACCCTCACCCAAGAGTTCTTTAGGCCTACTATGTGGATAATGCATAAATCCACCTACCTTGTGCTGATATTTTGAGAGGACCAAGAAAATCTAATACCATATCCTGAACCAACCATCCCATAAACTTCAGTTGTTAAGACAAGTGAATGGTTTTATATTACTTCTCTGTTCTCTAGTAGGAATGTATCTTTCATTTTTTATATATTGGGTTTTACTTATTTTTTGCTAAAATAATGTAGGTTCATCTGTTAGAGCAAAAAGGCAGCGAGTTTCAAGGTCATTGACCGATTCTGTGCCAAGTATGAAACATTCTCTGACAAATTATTGCAGAAACAGAGTGAATGAATTTATATTTCAAGGTATAGAGTTCCTTCTAACAGGAATACCTAGTGAGAAGGAAAGGGACGTGGAAGCACTTATAAGGAATTCTGGTGGAGTGGTTCTTTATGATATTCCCTCTCCTCAAAATTCTGGGGTCAAGAGAAATTCAACTTTATCTCATTTTCCCATTGTTCTTTGTATGAGAAAGGTTTGTTTTAATGATCAATATAACCCTTTAGTCTTTTATCACAATACTAATGCTTAAAACTTCTAAATATGTCATTGCTCTCTCTCTTCATTTTTGTTAATCTCTTGTTTCCCACTTTATGGAACTAGGGATTCATTTCAACAATTAAATTGCGAACAACTAAATTACACACAAGATATCTATCTAATGATAAAGAATTAATTAATCTTTATATCTGTGACTTATCATTAAAAATTATGATCATAATTACTGTTAAACATCCATAAGTTACCCACTAGACACCCATTATTAGAGGCTTTCTATTACTAAGGCCTGGTAATTGCTTGAACCAGACAATGGTTTTTGAGTAGTCACCGCTCATTCTCATTCTTAATCTTTACATATATGTCAATAGTTGAAATTTCACATCTAACTGACGGAGTATGCTATCAATACTAGTGTTTCAGAAAACCATTTGACCTAAAGGCTTATGATGTTTAGTTTTACATAAACTTTAGCCATAGAGCTTGCTGAACAATAGAATCACTTAATCAACCAAAGCTTAAGTTCAATGCCAAAGAAACACTTCACGTAGAAGCTGAATATTTTACGCAAGGCTCAAAGAATATTTATTTCCTTATAATAACTAATGGACAAATTTTACAACATTAATTATTATGTTATTGTTATATGATGATTGCATTGTTTACCTCAATATAATGGAGTCTTTGTTGATTGTCTCAGCTGCAAACCACCAAATTCTTATATGGTTGTGCTGTTGGTGCCTCAATACTGAAAGTTGATTGGCTGACTGATTCTGTTGCCTCTGGAACTATTTTGAAACCTGAAAAGTAAGTTGTATCATAACTGAGTACTTGACTTTGCTTCTCTTAAATTTATGTACTTTGTTACAGATTAGTTGTCATTAATCCGTGCTGACGTTATCAAATCAATACCAAATCGGTGTCCTGACTGGTCCGGTTAAAACATAAAACCCATATTTGAAAATCTGTACTTGCAATTCTAGTCAGTCCAACTCTGAGATTTTAACCGAGCAACATAGGTTTCATGACTTAACTTTAACCACTGAACCAACATGTTTTATTGATGAATATATGCCAAATTATATAGACCTGATTATGCTGTTCAACTATTGACTCACTGGTTCAACCAGTGACCCATCAATCCAGTATTTGTCACAAAAATGTCTTTGGTCTCAAAGACATTCCAAACCATTTCTTTCGGACTGAATTCTCTGTACCCTTTTCCTTGGCTCTCTCATGGGTGTCTAAGCAAGCCCACCCTCATGCGCATGCCTCTTCTGTTTCCTTTTTCAGCCAAACATCTAGAAAGATTTCGCTTCTGACTGAGTTTAATATTTCTAATGATTTGGTTTTTGACTGAGTGTCATGCCGTCATTTAATCTGTGTAGCGAACTCACGTAATCAAATAAGATTACTGTTATGGTTGTTGGTTCTTCTGATACCCTTTTAGAGTGTTTAAGGCAATCGTTGTGGAAAGATTTTCACAACTTTACACTCTAATTACATATTTTAGAAGTTTGACTTATTTGCAATCGTATTTCATTTTGGCATTTACGTTAGTTGTCTATATTGCTTTCTAATGACACCTATAGTATTCTTTTGCTGATCTAACTTATGATTTTTTCTTAATATATATATATATATATATATATATATATATATCTTGTTTACAATGTATATTGAATCTGGATATATTTGACAGTTTCTCTGTTGGGAAAAATATGCGGAATCTTCCCATATGGTCAGATCTGTGAAAGTGAAATAAAAGCGGAATAATTGCACACACAAGTTGATAACGGAGTTCGGCCAATAATGCCTACGTCTCCGGACTACTACAGATCTCTTACTAGGAGAAAAGAAAAATACACAAGTGTTTACAAAACACTCCCAAAACACTCACAACTCACAACCCAATTACACCCAGAAGCTAAACTAAAACTCTCTAGTTTTTCTGCCTCTCACTGGTGCCACTCTTTCTTCTCTAAGAGAAGTAGTATTTTGTGTGGGATGGGATGATTTTGCTTGAAGGAAGAAGACCAATTTATAGCAAAAATTGGTACTGTGCATTACAAAAAAAAATGCCTCGTGGGCACCTCATGCTTGAATAAAAAAATTTGCACCCACCCTTTTCTTCCATTCTTTCGGTGCAAGTGAGAAAGTTACCTACTTTCTTTGACCAACAATCTCCCACTTGAGGACCGATTTCAATCTGTCCTCACACCTTGATCAATAGTAGTCTTCTCTTGTCTCGTTATCCTTGTAAGCTAAGCTGAAGTTGAGCATAACTTCGGTTTGTCAATAGTCACCACCTTTGTTAGCATATCTGCTGGGTTCTTACTTCCCACAATTTTCTTCAATGTTAGCATCTCATCCTCAAGTAGAGATCTGATGAAATGATAACGTATGTCGATGTGTTTGGTTCCGGAGTGAAATGCTGAATTTTTTGCCGGATGTATTGCACTCCGACTATCACTGTGCAAAACACTCCTTTCTTGAATGAATCCCAACTCGCCAACAATCCTTGAAGCCATATCAATTCTTTGCGGCTTCATCATCTGCTACATACTCGACCTCCGTAGTGGATAAAGCAACAATCTTACGTATCCGCGACATCCAACTAACAGTTGTAGTTCCAACGATAAACACATACCCGAGTGGTGCTTCTTCGGTGATCAACTTCACCTCCAAAGTCTGCATCTACGTAACCTCGCAATTTTAGATCTCCCTTTCTAAAATACGGACATTTTTCGTTGTGCCTCGTAGATACCTTAGAATCCATTTGACTGCTTCCCAATGAGCTTTTCCTGGATTTGACATGAATCCGCTTACAACTCCCATTGCATGGCCAATGTCCGGCCTCGTACGGACCATCGCGTACATCAAACTTCCAATGGCTGAAGCATACGGAATCTTAGCCATTAACTCTTCTTCTTCCTTTGTTTGAGGAGGCTGATCCTTGGATAGACGAAAATGGCAAGCCAAAGGTGTATTGACTGGTTTGGCATTGTCCATGTTGAATCTCTCGCAAAACACGGTTGATGTACTCAGCTTGAGATAAGCTGCAAAACTCCTTTTTGCTTATCTCTCGTGATTTGCATTCCAAGAATCTTCTTTCTTGGGCCTAAGTCCTTCATGTCAAATTCTTTTGACAAGCTGCTTCTTTAAGTTTATGATCTCATTCATATCTCGAACCTGCTACTAGCATATCATCAACATAAAGTAGCAAAATGATATAACTGGACTTATACCTCTTGAAGAAACAACGGTGATCAGCGTTGCACTTCGAAAACTCTCCTTGTGCATGAAGCTTTCGAACTTCTTATACCATTGTCTTGGAGCTTGTTTCGAGCCATACAAGCTCTTTTTCAATCTGCACACCAAGTTCTTCTTTCCTTCGAAAAACCTTCGAGCTGGTGCATGTAGATCTCCTCATCTAAATCTCCATGAAGAAATGCGGTCTTCACATCTAATTGCTCTAGGTAGAGCTCCTCACTAGCCACGATACTTAACACGATCCGATAGTATTGAGCTTTACAAGCTGGAGCAAAGATTTCGGTGTAGTCGACTCCTTCTTTCTGCTGAAATCCTTTGACGACCGGTCGAGCTTTGTATCTCTTAGAACCATCATGGTCTTCCTTCACTCGATACACCCATTTGTTGTGAAGTGCTTTCTTTCCCATAGGTAACTTGACTAGTTTCCATGTCTGATTTGAGATTAAAGACTTCATCTCGTCTTTCATGGCAAGCTCCCACTTGCTAGCATCAGTGGCTTGACAAGCTTCAGTATAATCTTCGGGCTCCCTCCATCGATCAACAACATATAGTCCATGTATCTCCTGTTAGGCACATGAGGCCGAGAAGACCTTCTCAATACGGGAGTTGGAGTAGGAGGTTCCGCTTGCACATCAAGTTCTTCAGCCGATTCCTCCGGTCGAGGACTCCTCATTATAGGACTTTCCGGGATATCTTCCACCTCTGCATAAGCTGGTCCACTCGCTTCGAGTTGCTGGCACTGTATTATGCTTGTCCTTGTACATCACTCTTTCATTGAAGATTACGTCTCTGCTGCGGATCATCTTTTTGTTTTCATCGTCCCATATGCGGTAGCCAAACTCATCTTCACCATAACCAAGGAAAGTACATTTCTTTGATTTTGGATCAAGTTTGTTTACGCCTTGATCAGCGATATGCGCATATGCTTACACGGCCAAAAACTCTAAGATGTGAGAGTTTTACCTCTTTTTCGCTCCATACCTCTTACGGTATCTTGTGCTCCAATGGTACCGATGGACTTCGGTTGATCAAGTAAGCTGCTTGTGTTGACTGCTTCGCCCAAAGCTGCTTTGGTAAGCCTGATCGCACACGCATGCTTCGGCCCTTTCGGTCAGCGTTCGATTCATACGCTCAGCTACACCATTGTGTTGAGGCGTACCGACACGGTTCTCTCCATTCGATTCAGTGCTCATAGCAAAACTTCTTGAATTTGGTGTCTACATATTCACCACCATTGTCGGATCCGAGCTTCTTAATCTTCAATCCTGTCTCATTTTCCACCATAGCTTTCCAAATCTTGAAAGCTTCAAATACTTCGACTTATATTTCGGAAAGTAAACCCATACCTTTACGGAGTGATCATCAATGAAAGTCACGAAGTAATGCTTCCCACCAACGGATGGGACGGTCGTTGGACCCCAAACATCGAGTGGATGAGCTCAAGCTTCTCTTTCTTTGGGGTTCTTTTACTTGTCTGAAAGTCGACTCTCTTACGCTTTCCAAGTATGCGATCTTCACACATGTCAATATCTACTGGTCGAAGACCTGGTAATTTTCCTCTCGAGTGCATGACCTTCATTCCTTTCTCACTCATATGTCCAAGTCTTTGGTGCCATATGTTGGAATTTTCATTTCTTGCAAGCTGCAATCAAATGACATGCTCCTGCGAGTCTTGTAGAGAGTTCCACTCTTTTTGCCTCGAGCAATCGTCATCGCACCTTTTGAGATCTTCCATTCATCACCATGGAAGATTGTCGTATAGCCTTCACTAGCTAAGCTGACCTACTGAGATTAAGCTCTTTGTCGGGTCGGGAATATGTCCGACATTTTTCAATTCCCATACGGATCCATTCGGCTTAATCCTTCTTGCACCTTTGCCTACAATCTCACATGATTGTTCATTACCAAGGTAAACCTTACCAAGGTTTCATGGAACATAATTCTCCAACAGTTCCTTACGTGAGGTAGCATGAAAAGAAGCTCCGGAGTCTAACACCCAAGACTCCTCCACGCCTTCAAGAGAGCATATCAACGCCTCATCTTTTCCTGAGGTGGAGGCAACGTTTGCTTCGTCCTTTGTTCCTTGATTCTTCAGTGCACTCTTGCACTTGGTTTTACGAAGTGTCCGGTCTTCCCACAATTCCAACACTCGATCGTTTTTGAGTTGTGGGAACTACGATGATTTACGGACTTGGACCGCTTGTCCTTTGATTTTCCATGTCCAATTTCTTTGGTTGAACTTCTTCCTCTTGACTCGTATGCAATGCGAAGAGGTTGATGCTTCACCCGACTCTCTCCATCGGATCTCTTCGCTGAGAACCAAATTTTGAACATCATTAAATCTTAACTTATTGTTTCCAGATGAGCTACTCACAGCTGTGGCCAGTAGCATTCCAACTCTCCGGTAGGGAAGACAAAAGTATTAAAGCCTGTACTTCATCATCGAATTTGATGTCAATAGAACTCAAGCTGGGTTGTTATAGTGTTGAGTTCATTGAGATGATTTGCCACCGAAGCACCTTCGGACATCGCGGGTTGAACAATCGCCTCATCAAGTGAACTTTGTTTGAGGCTGATGGTTTCTCGTACATGTTGGAAAGAGCCTTCATGAGATCTCGAGGTCGTCTTTTCTTTCACAATGTTGAAAGCAACATTACGGGATAATGTTAGACGAATAACTCCAAGAGCACTGTCTATCAAGGAGTCTCCATTCTTCCTCTTTCATGGTTTACGGCTTCTCCCTGTGAGTGGTTGATGCATCTTCTTCCGATACGAGATAATCCTCTATCTGCATCTTCCGAAGCCAAAGTCTGTACCAGTCGAACCTTTCAATTTTCATTTTTCCTTCGATCTGCGAGCCATCACTCCAACTACGATCGACTTATCTGCTTGGATCGTTTCGACAATTTACGTGAGCTACCGTGTTTCGAACACGATCTGCGGGCAAATTTGTAGCATGACAAAATTTGCACTATTCACGTTTTCACTATTCACGGAATAGTAATTTACTATTCATATGAATAGTAATACCACAAAAATTACAGAACTAACAACCAGCTCTGATACCAGTTGTTGGGAAAAATATGCGGAATCTTCCCATATGGTCAGATCTGTGAAAGTGAAATAAAAGCGGAATAATTGCACACACAAGTTGATAACGGAGTTCGGCCAATAATGCCTACGTCTCCGGACTACTACAGATCTCTTACTAGGAGAAAAGAAAAATACACAAGTGTTTACAAAACACTCCCAAAACACTCACGACTCACGACCCAATTACACCCGAAGCTAAACTAAAACTCTCTAGTTTTTACGCCTCTCACTTGGTGCCACTCTTTCTTCTCTAAGAGAAGTAGTATTTTGTGTGGGATGGGATGATTTTGCTTGAAGGAAGAAGACCAATTTATAGCAAAAATTGGTACTGTGCATTACAAAAAAAAATGCCTCGTGGGCACCTCATGCTTGAATAAAAAAATTTGCACCCACCCTTTTCTTCCATTCTTTCGGTGCAAGTGAGAAAGTTACCTACTTTCTTTGACCAACATTCTCCAATTTTAATGATACGTGCTGTCAAGATCTTCAAATCCTTCTCCATATTTTAATAATTCTGGTTTCTTTGTATTAGATACATGATTCTTCCAAATCGAAATGACATGAAGTGGTCCAGGATTGGGACGGCAATTCATCAAAGAAACCCGAAACATATTTTTGAAAGAGTACGAATTCTGCTTCATGGGAAGCCTAATTTCTGCACCAAATTGGCATGTATCATCAAGGTAAGGCCCTTCTTTTACCTGTTTTATCATTCACTTATCTTAAGTTGCCCCTTCATATGTCCTATTTTTATGGTGTAAAATTTCTACTTTTTACTAATTTTCATTTGTATTCTATAATAATATAGAAGAGAGTTTTTCTTCTTATTCAATTGACTGCATATTTTGTTTGAATGGCTTTGTTTCTAAAACTAATCCGTAGCTTTTGTTAATTGACATACAAATTTGATGACTTTGGAACGTAACGAAATCTTTATGTAAACTGATATTTCTTCTGTGCATTCAAGACTTCTAACAAATATCAACGCTATATCATGTCTAATATGAAGCTATCTAAATTTACTACTTTAATGTGACAATTTAGGTTTGTAACAATGCAGTGTAGGTGTGTGTAAGTACCGATACAGATTATACAAATGGTCCTTCGGTTCAATTTCGCAACATTTTTTACACTATGTCTGTTGTGCAGCATGGAGGTGGACATGTGTTCAAAACTCTTCATGGGTTACTACGGAACATTGATGAGGAAAGAACTTTGGTTGAAGCTATTGTAGTCGAAGATAAAGCTACTATATCACGTCACCTCAAGCATTGTGCCAAAGAGCGGGATATTCCGATGATGGTAAGTTGTAATTCCGTAGTTCAGATTTGAACATATTTACGGTGCCCAATATTTATAAAAATGAATTTGTTGGTTGTGCATCAATATCCTTGTATGGTTTTATGGTTTAAGATTTAATAATCACATAACCACTATATTGAATTTAATTTTAATCCTTTTATGTCTGCATGGTTTAGATTTCTTATTCTCACGCTCTCATCAAACACTATTTTCATTTGATACGTACCTTGTAATACCCAGGCATGGTTTATCATGTGAAAATTCTTGATATTTCAATCTTTCTTAGATTTTTATGATTAATTCCTCTCACTTATCATGGTTTATTTTATATACTTGATGTATATCTCTGTTAGGTTTGGATAATTCTGATTCTGTGTTGATTTTCTCGTGCAGCCTTTCAGCTGGATCATTAAGAGCTTATATTGTGGAAAGTTACTTCCTTTCAGGGAAGAAAAGACTATACATCCTTTGCCATTTGTTAAAGTGTCTGAACTTCCAAATGCTTTGGATATGAGTGAAGAAATATAATTTTTTTCTTTCAGCAACTATATATTAACCCATCAATAATGACTAGGGGATCACTTGGAAGATCTTATGAAGATTCATGGAAGGGCTTACACAACGGCGAAATGTAGAATTTTGTACATTTCAAGCATTGTATTATTATTTTTCAAAATTTGTGAGAGAAGTTTCCCTAAATTCAACATCCTGGATCCGGGGTTGTGGTTTTGAGCTTTCTTTAGATCAAATATTTTAAAATATGATTGTTTAGTTAATCACCGTATTTAGGTAATATCTTTTTGGAATTTGAATTAGATTCTGTCAGTTTGATTTATCTTAGGTGTGTTAGAGGATTAATATATATATATATATATATATATATATATATATATATATATATATATATATATATATATATATATAATCCATATATATAATATATGGATTATTAAATTTAATACAGTGGTAATAATCACATAACCACTATATTCTATTTAATACAATTATTATTTTCTTTTTTCTCATTTATTTTTTTTATTTTTATCTCTTTTTATTTATCTCTTGTTATTCTTTTTTCCTGCTCCTAGTTGGTGTTTGTTTTCTTTTTTTCTCTTTTGTTTTTTCTTCTTTCACCTCATCTTTTTTTTTTTAATTAAAAATACTATATTTAAATTTGATAGAACAAGTTTTTTATTATTTAAAAAAAATAAAAATATTTAAATTATTCAAAAATACTATAATTAAATATATTATATTTAAAAAATATTATACAATAAATTTAAGGGATTACATGTATTATATTATTATATTGTAATTATTAAGAAAAATTATATTTTATTTTAAATTAACTTTTTAATAAATATTTTTTAAAATTAATTATTATTACTTAATCTAATTATAATTAAATTAAATTACTAAAGAAAAAGTATATTTAACTCATAAATATTTTATATATTTTAATGAAATGAGCAATTGATTTATTATGATAAATAATTTTAAATTAATTATTTACATTCTAATAAATAAAATTATTTATTAGCATATTCTTTATTGCTATTCTAATTCTATTGATATTTTTTTATTTAATATTAATTTTAAAAAGTTTAATTTGACATATTTTTATTAAATTTTAATATAACAAATTTAATTAAAAGAATAAGTAATTAGAAAAAAATAAATAAAAGACCTTAAAAATAATGAAAAATATTATAAAAAAAAAAGAAAAAGATAAAAAAATAATAAAGAAAAAAATTACATATAAATAATCAACAAATTTATTTTAGTAAATAAATCAATAAAATAATTTTTTTAAAATATATTATTTATAGATTTAATTAATGTCTTCTCATCCTAATTTGAAATAAAATAAATATAATTTAAAAAGTAAAACATTTTTTTAAAATATCTTTACAAACAAAAATTATATATAAATAAATCAGTAAAAACTTTAATTTCAAAAGGTTTATTTTATTTTATTTTTCTTTAATGTTTGTTTGCGGTAAGTATTACTTATATTTCAGTTCAATCGACCTTCTTTATCAATAAATTTAAGAAAAAAACAAGGGAGTCTCTGATATAACTTTTGGGAAGAAAAAAGAAATGTAAGAATCATATTTTATTATTCAGAACCATGAATACATATGAAAGAGTTGATAACTCAGTTTGAGGGTGGTGCCGGTGGAGTGATGACATCAGTGACGGTGGAAGCTGGATGTGGACACTGGCAGACATGCTCGATACACTGGGATGCACACCCACAGTTTGGATTGTGACACCCAATCTGACATTCCTTATCAGAATCACAAGGCATTCTGTAAATGGGTCCTCTTGCTTCTGTCTTCATCATGCACAAATCTGCATTATATAAACATTGACATCATAATAATAACATTAATTCCATGACAAATATGAAGATGTTTATCAAAACAATGAGAAATGAGAAAAAGAAGATGAATTCTAACCTGAAGCAATGATGAAAAAGGCTAACAAGATTGTGACTCTGAAAAGGGAATATCTTGAAGAATTCATATTGTTTCTTGAATTGTTCTTCACCCATAAATATGCATCTATATATAGTGGGTGAGAATACTAACGGTTATATAAATATATTATTTTACATAGACTCGTTGGTTAAATTTCAGTAAATATTGTATATTTTTATTCACTGTACATTAAATTTAAATTCAACACATTTACTCATTCATTCATGGATGATACGTACGTTTAAATGTAAATATAAATATTATATTTTTATTCATTGAATGTAACTTTTATTCATTAAATGTACCTTTAATATTTTATTTCATGGAATAATACGTTTAGAGTGTGTTTGGTAATAAAAAAAGTGTGAAGAAATAAAGAAAATAATAATAAAATAAAGTAACAGGTTTTTTTATTCATTTTGAAGAAAAGTAACATATTCCTTCTAAAAAATAATAATTAATTAAATTAAAATTAAATATTTAATCAATTATAAAATTATTTATATAATTATCAATTGATTTTATATTAATAAAATAACTTCTTAAAATAATATCTTTAAATTATATAACTATTTTTTCAATAATATATATTTTATATATAATTATAAAATTATTTATTATAAAATTATTTTATATTAAATTAATAAAATAATATTTTATTATGAATAAACAAAAATATTAGAATTAGTCGTTTAATTTATATAATCATATTCAAATAATTATATATATAAACTATAATATAAAAATAAATAATTATTTATTTAAATATTTTTTTTGCATTTTTTACTTTTTATACATAAAAGTAACATATCTATAGAAAATATTTTTTTCTTCGTTATTTCTCTCTCTCTCTCTCTCTCTATATATATATATATATATATATATATATATATATATATATTCATGCATTAAATTAAAATAACGTGCATTCACTGTCATTCATTGATGCATTAAATATAAACATAAATTAAATATAAATATAAATGTAATACTTTTATTCATTAAATGCAGTTTATATTCATTGAATGTACATAATATACATATGATTTTATTCGTTCTTGCATTATCTAGTTTTAAAATTAAAAACTAAATTATTCTTTTTATCAATTTTATGAAAATAAAAATTATTATTATTATATATTAAATTTAAGTATAAAGAAAAATTAAAACCTAATTTTTATAATTATTCTATTATTATTATAATTTAAATATAAAAAACTGTTATAATTTAATTGTGAATTGAAGTTCTATATTAAATAGAAATAATGAAGATGAATAATATATAAGAAAAAAAATCTACAAATTTATCACCTTTAGGTTTTATATTGAAAGTGGTATAATTTTTTTTTTTTTAATTTTACTTGGCTAAGCCTAGTAATAATATTTGTAACAAAATCTAAAAAATTATGCATATATATATATATATATATATATATATATATATATATAAATTAAAATACACATAGTAATTTAAAATATAATTTTTTTGTGTATAGAAATATCTATACATATATATCCGTAAACAAAACATAAATCTACAATATTCCTTATTCAATACCTATTCCCGCTTAGGTCTATCACCGATAAAATCTGCTTCGTGTAAATATATAATTATCACAGTTCAAAGCAATATACGGAACACACAAGTGTAAGTTAGTAATTCAATTTAAATATGTAAAATTTAAATGTCTAGTAATTCAATTTAAGTATGTAAAATTTAAATGTGAGATAAAATAACATAATTCAACTATAAGTTTTCATATATTACATCATATGCTCATATTGACGTCACACAAACACTAAACGATTTCTGGAAGACTAGATATTAAAATAAACATCAAAGATTTGTACCTGTCATACCACAACTCCCCAAGTGTGTAACACAAGATACTCAGTTTGGTATATATACTCATGTATGAACAGGGTAAATTCCTAAATAACTTATCAAGATACAGTTCTTTTTTACATGGCAGGCTAAGTCATTAGAAATCTCATTTTTATCTCTCACCACCTGATCCTTTTATCTATATGATTTCAGGGATCACTAAAGTTAAAATATCTCCTCGAGTCTCAAATCAATATTTATACATACAACCCTACACACATGAGGATACCCTTAGTAATTCTCATATCACAACACATTTTTCAAGGTATATAATAGCATTTAACATACCCCATTTCATGTTCAGAAGAGGTATTTTAATATCTTTAGGCATATACATATCATTTCTCACATTATAATAAAATATATATTTTTTTATTTGACTTCTATCCACTCTTTTGATCATAACTTTTTCTATAAACATCCTTTTTAACTAATTTTTATTTTATTGGATTTCTTATTTTCGTGGCTTCAATTTGCATATATGAAATATTTTATTTGGAGTTTATAACTATTTTTATGATTTTTTTTAAAATAGTTAAGCGAATTTGAAATCGCTAAATGAAATTTTGACATGATAGAACCTTTAATATTATCCAAAATCTGTTGGACAAACCTCGAAAGCAATGAGCGAAACTCAGACGCTTTGCGAATTCTTGACAGTAGTTGAATGCATAATTTGCTCAGTGTATTACTTTTAATGTTCCAAATCAAATTAAATATAAACGCTATTCTCCAAATTGTAAATGAATTCACTAAATTAAATATAATAATAATACATTATTATTACAAAAGACTATCATCTTCAATTTCATACAAATCAATTATACATTCACATTCAATACAATCGTCACAATTACACAACCTAATTTTTTGGAACTCAAATAGTGTGACCAAGTTACTTTCACAATCCAAATCTTCTAGTCTAGGGTACTATAGAAATTAAAGAATAATTAACTTCTTTTACCTCAAACACAATATCTCCAAGTCAAAGAACCTAACAACTATTAAAATTTTCAAGAAGATAGATCTAACTTACAGAAAATCCCAAATAAAAAATTGAGCATACCATAATACTCTTAAACTAGTTAAGATTTATCTTTTCACAACAAAGTGTACATGCAAGCTCTCAGGACCCACATGCAAGCCTAAACTCAAATATAAAAAAATGGTCTAAAATTGAGAAAAGAGAAACTTACTCTATTCAAAATTCTAATCGGATAGAAATGATCTCTTCTCCTCCAGGAGTACTAAGGTATGCTTGGATATAAAAAAAATATGAGAGAGGGAGTGAGAATTTTAAAGAGAAGGCAGAGAGTTGGATATAGTGGTTTTGTAAGAATTAAGTTCAAATAGTTAAACTTTTCTATTTATAATTAGTTTTAGCTTAATTAGTAAAACTTCAAACTTATTCTTGTTATACCACTTCTACTCTTAACTAGGAATGTCAAAGTGAACCAACTTGATTCACACGGATTGACTCACTACGGGCTGAACTAAAAATAGATTAGTTCAACCCGATTCACCTTATGGCGAGCCAGAAATTTCACAACCCGACTCAACCCACCACGGGTTGGTGAGTTGGCTCATTAACCCATATTTTTGTTCTAATAAGTACAACTGAATCGCAAGACTGAAACATAATGGTGTGGTGGCACGGTAAATATTGTGACGCGACTAAAACACAACCGACAAATGTTATGGTGCAACTGAAGCATGGTGGCGCCAACGAATGCAATGAACATGGTGGCACGACAAACACTATGACATGACTGAAACATGGAACTGAAAAGCTATGGTGAGGTGGCACGGTAAACACTGTGACGTGATTGAAATGCAGAATTAAAATCTATGGTGTGGTGACACATCAAACGTTATGATGTGATTGAAATATGAGATTGAAACACGGTGGCACGACAAACACAATGAACATAATGTTGCATAGGTGCGGCGAATGAATGACAAGCGACCTAGGTGCAATGACGAGCGCAGTGATGCGACGAATAGTTGATGATAAGCTTGAGTGAGGGTTCGACTTTGTAACGGTGACATGGAGTAAAGGTAGAGAGATAAAATAACATCAATTAGGATTACTAAATTATTATAATTATTTTTAAAATTTAAAATGAATTATGGGTTACGGTCAACCCATCATAACCGACTCGAACCCACTTAATCCGTGTGTTAAGTGAGTCAAGTTTATTTTTAACCTATTATCGGTGAAAATGAAAAAATTCCAAATAATTTGAACCCGTGGTGAGTCAAGTTGGCTCACGGGTTACAACCCATATTGACACCCCTAAGTGCAGCGACGAACGCAATAGTACGACGAATAATAATTGATGATAAGTTTGAGTGAAAGTTTAGTTTGTAGCGGTAATACGGAGTAGAGGTAGAAAGACAGGATAATATCAATTAGGGTCACTAAATTATTATAATTATTTTTAAAATTTAAAATGAATGGATAACCCTGGTTCGAACCCGCTTAACCCGTGTGTTAAGTAAGCCAGATTTATTTTTAATTCAATATCTATAAAAAAAATTAAACCCAACTTGATTCAAACCCTTGGTAAGCTGGATTAACTCAGGATTACAATTCATATTCTTACTCTTAACTCACTTAAACGATATCTCAATATTAATCTCCTTTAAAAAAAAAAACCACAATTATATATTTTTAAAATTTTAAAGTTAAAAATTTTGAATTTATTAATTTAAATATAAAAATGTAAAAGCAAAAACATATTTATCATTATATATATAGATATTTCATATAAAATATTATACATAAGTTACTTTTCACTTTCTTAAATTTTGTTTTATATATATATATATATATATATATATATATATATATCTTTTTCTTTTAACTTTAAAAATATATATTTTCTTTATATTTTAATAAATAACACTTACACTGTATTAAATTTTTAATTAATATTCATATTTATATGGTTTTAATAATTGAATGTTACTTGTCTTATATTTTAATATAGTGATTCTAACTCTTTTTTGTTGCATTTGATTTTAAATATTATATTAACTAAACTTTAAATAAAAATTAGATTTTAATAATATAAAAAAAATAAACACATTTTATATACAAATTAATGATTAAATTATTAGATATTTAAAAATATCATAAAAAATTACACTGTCATTAAATTATAAGTTACCTTACAAAAATATAAAAAGTTATACTTTTATGAAGATGAGAGATGAGAGACGAGTTTTCTACTGTATGGATTGTTTTCCTTTACATAAAAAAAATTATAAAAGATGAGAACAATTTTCTTTTCATAAATTTCTATTTAACTTTTATTGAATATGATTTTTATTAAATAAAAATAAAGAGGATGAATATAACTTTGTTAAATACATAAATATATGTGATAATAAAAATATAATTAAGATTAATGTCAAGGGTATGAGCATCATTTAAAAATAAAACAAAAATAAATATGTTTATGTTGAAATAAAGATAAAATATGCTTTAATCCTTTATAAAATATGTTAAAATAGTCTTGCTAATTTTTTTTGTATTATTTTAATTAGTGTAAAATTAAAATATGTTTTTTAGTCTAAACTTGTAACTATATTAAAAAAAAATTGCATATATAAAAATATGGTGAAAGATGAGGGAAGTAACATGACCGAGTATTGAGGTAGAAATTACTTTTATGGGACATTCAAATTTTACTTATAACTCAAAATATTGATATATAATGTGATATATATTCTAAAGTAAGTGTAGATTTACTTATATAAAAAAATTTAAATTGATTAATTTTTTATCTTCTAATCAAATTTTTTTCTTAATATGTTTTAAAATTAATTATTTTTCTTTCTTATTCAAATAATATATTTATGAAAAAAGACAGTCGTTTTGACAAGATTATTTTAAAAAGTGATATAATAATTATTGTTGTTAGTATATGTATAATAGCTTTAATTAAATTTATTATAAAACAAATAAAGTATATATATAATTCATTTTCTGCAAAAAAAATTAAAATATTACTGATGGATAAAATATTTTCTTGAACACTGATTTACCATGAAAAATTAAAGGAATTGTGATTCTCGACAATTATGTTTTGATCTTGTAATAAAATTAAAGAATAAAATATTATTATTCAATTATTTTATATTAATTATATCAATCACATCAATTACAATAAATTTACTCAAATTTTTTTAAATTTATTTTTTTTTTCAATCCAAATAACCTCATAAATTCTCACCCTAATCCAAATACAAACTAAAACAATTTTATTTTATTTTTTTATATTTTGTGAAGGAAAGACAATAATAATAATAATAAAATATTTCTTGTCAATAATATTGAAATAAAAAAAATAAAAAAATCCACCATATTTGGCTATATAAAGAGGTAAGTGAGTAAGACGTTGGACAACACAAGATGGAGGGTTGGAAGAAATCTGCAATGAAATTGGCAGTTTTGTTGGCTTTCATGGTGATTTCATCAGGTGAGACAATGTTAATGTGTTCGTGTGTTGAAAGTGTTTGATAAAATGTTAATGTGATTGTTATGTGTTATTTGTTGATGCAGAAATGTGGATGAAATCCGAAGCAAGAGGACCCGTTGTGCGTTTGCACTGCACTAACGATTCACAGTGCCAATATAATTGTCCAAATTGTGGCTGCAAATGCATCAACACATGGTGTCGGTGTCCAATACAACCCTTCACTCATAACATTCCCCTTCAAGAACAACCCCCAAATCATGTGTAAAATTATATGAAAGTAGTAAAAATAACAAGGGTTGTGATTCCCTTATTCTGTACCTCAATTCTTCTCATCAATTTCAGTAAAACTTATACTTTTTAGTCTAAATATTTGTTTATTTACTTATTTGATCCTCTTTTTTTTTTTTAATTTCATTCAAAGCATAACTATATATTATTAAAAATTTAAAATATTTAGTTTAATTTTATAAAACAAATTTATAATTAAAATATTAATGATCAGATATTTATTTATAGCAGGTAAATTAACTAATTCAGTCACTAATGAATTAATAGTTTTCTTAAATAGTAGAGATGAAAGTGCAGGATTAAAAGGAACAAATTTTTGTTCTTGTTCAATAATAATGATAATTGTGACGTATGCCTTATTTTAATATTATATTAATATTATTATGCAAGAAAATTTCGTAACGAAGTTTTTCTCATGCACAATAAATTTTTTCTTATATATGCATACTGAAGCGGGGAGGAGGAGAATCAAAATTTTCCTCTCATCCTTCTTCTTCTATTGTCTAAATTTCAAGCAACGAGACTCTACTCGTGCAGGATCCAGTGAAACGGGAGAGAGCTTGAATTAAGTGGGAAAACTTCGGTAGAAATACCATACCAGGTAAGGGGAAGTTTAATTCATTAAATATATGAAATTGAATTGCTGGGTACTCTGTGAATAAGGAATAGGAGTAGAGATATGAATTATTTGAATGTCTGATTTTGAAGAGTTTCTGATTTTGATGAATTGTTCACCGTTTGAAAGTTTTTTTAAATTCTTGAAATTAAGGATGAATTATATAATAAAATTGTTGTTTTTAACTTAAATTGAACATGTTTATGGTTAAATTTTGATTTGGAACTAATTTGGGTGATTGAAACTGAGAAATTTGAAACCTGGATTTTGAAAATGGCGTACTAGAGGTGATTACTATTCATATTTTGCAAAGTTTTAAATATTGATTAAATTCTTGAAATTAAGGATGAATTATATGGTAAAATTGTTGTTTTCAACTTAAATTAGATATAATTCATGTTTAATTTCGATTTGGGACTAGTTTGGTTATCTAAAACTGAGTAATTTGAAATCTGCCAAATTTGACACTGTTACTGGGCGAAGGAAGAAGAAAGGGATATGGTGGGGATTTTTTTAAAAGATCAAGGGTAAAATAGTCATTTTACATTCTAGGGACATAAATGTAATTTTTGAAAATGTTCAAGGGCAAAATAGTCATTTTACATCCTAGGGACATAAATAGAATTTTTGAAATTGTTCAAGGGTAAAATAGTCATTTTTGGGACATGGAAGGAATTTTTGAAAATGTCCAAGGGCAAAATAGTCATTTTCGGGACATGGAAGGAATTTTCAAAAATGACAAAGGGTAAAATAGTCATTTAGGGACATACATGGAATTTTAAGAAAAGATTAAGGGCAAAATAGTAATTTAATGATTTCGAAAATAGTTTTGGAAATAGTTTCGGAAATGATTTCGGAAATAATTTTAGGAAAATATATATATAAAGAGAGAGAGAGAATGAAAGTAGTGTGTTGTGACGTGTGTGGGTTAGACCGAGCCCGAGGGTTGATGCCCGAATCGGTCCCGAGACGTTATATATTGGCTAGACCGAGCTGGAGGGTTGGTGCCGTAATCAATCAAATCCTATTTTTATTGACTCGAATGAGCCGTGAGGACAGGTGGTCCGAGAATCCGGCAAATGTGAATAATTTTTGTTATGTTTGAATGGTACCGGGGTGGTACAGAGTACATTAGTGTAATAACTATGTCAGAGGATTCTGAATGAGGTCTCACACTTCACTGATTGGTCGGGTCAGGTAGACTACGAGATCAGGCGGTGAGAAGTCGATGGGGGATGACTGGTGGCGCACTCGGAGGGGTACTCCAGTATGAGTGATGAAGGGCGCCAGTAATCCTACTCTGTGTGGAGGGTGGTCAGAATGGTACTGCGGGTACCGATCACAATGTGCCCACAGATGATAGCCTTTAAGTTCGGGCATAGTTAGGGTATACTTCCGGAAGGTGTCTTAGTGTGTTGATAATTTCGTAATTGATCATAATATATAATTATTACTTCTATATCTGTTTTATTATATCGAATGATTTAATACTTACCCCTATTTTTCCATGTGTATGGGACTGCGATGATCACTTTTATGTGGAAGCGAGTCGGGAGTTGAGAGATGGCGATGTGACTACTCGGACAGGTAGGGATAGTTCGATGGGATAGCTTCGAGGGAGCTACTTTTACATGTATAATATATAAATAAATTATGTTACTATATTTTGAAGTTCAGTTAGTGAACCTGGAATTTCAATATATGTTACAATTACGAGTAATATAATATAAAATAGATGTTGTTATTTACTTGTTTACTACTTTGCGAAGACATCATTATAGTAGCGATTTCTAGGATAGTTACAATAATGGTAAAAAATTTGTGACTTTTCATTGTAAAGAGAAAAAAATGAAAGGAATATTGTTTTATAAAATTATTATGACTTAAATAAATTATTTTTCTTTATTATTTTATATTTTAATTATATATATTAATTTGTAATTACTATTTTTAATTACTATTTTCATATGTAAAACTAAGTTTTCTTATTTCAATAATTTGATTTTTGCAAAATAATTTATATTGTTTGAAAGATTGTGAAAAAAAAAATTAACAAAAATAAAATTTTTGAGGAACATGGATCCCATCTCAATATTTAATAGACGTGAATGCATTTATAACATTCTTATGTCATACAGTATTTAATAGATGCACATTTAATAATATTTGAATGCATTTATAACGTTCTTGGTTTGTCATCACAAGTATTAATTTTTTTCTCTCTCTGTAATTATTACTATTTTATTAATTTATTTATTTACTTATAAGAAAAAATAAACAAAATAATTTAAAATATGTATAAAAATAGAAAATTTAAATATTTATAATTTTTAACCATTTTTTTAAGATTTGGTGAAATACGGTTTATGTTTATATTTTTTATTTAAACATTTTGTAATATTGAAAATTATTTTTTAAAATTATAAATTTTAATTTGTTTGACTAATTATTTTGTTATACATCTAAAATGTTTATCATTTTCTTTATTCAAACCAATTAACATATCTCCAAAATATCACAAGTTTCATAAATTGGTAGTTTATTTAAGTCAACAAAACCATTAAACTAAAAATATCGTAATAAAAAAATAGGAAAACTTTATTTTCTCATACTATTGTAACGAAAATAAAACAAAAATAATTATTGAAATTTTTTAAATAAAAAACAAAAAATAATAGAACCATATTATTTAATTAAAATATATCAAAATCAAATTATCACTAACTATAGTATAAAAATAGAAATTTAAAATTGTTTTTTTTTTTACAAACTTATATAACATACAGAGAACCCATTAAAATGAAAATAATAAATACAATATAAAAAAAATAATTAGAAAGAAAATAAAAAAATATAAAAAAGATAAAAATATATATTTTTTATTTTACATATTTTTAAATAAAAAATTGTTCATAATTGATTAATTTATTTATTCAATTTTAAAAAAATAATTTCTTATTTTTATTTTGAACACTTTTAAAAAAATAATTTCTTATTTTTATTTTGAACACTTTTAAAAAAATTATAATCTTATGATTTAAAAGGCACAGGTTATATAAAATGTTCATAAATAGTGGGGAAAAAACTAACCATTAAAAAAATTCTAAATTATCTTGGTATCCTTTACATACTTAAAATATGAGTATTGTTAGAAATTCCTATTACAATCAATCAAATAAATTAGAACCAAATATTATATATTTTTGATTTTATTACTTTTCTACTCTATCCCTTTAAATATATATATATATATATATATATATATATATATATATATATATATATATATATTTTCTAAAATTACTATCAAATAAAACTATTATAAATTTACATCAAAAAAATCTATTTCAGAATAACAATCAAATAAATATTTATAAACAGCATAAAACTTAAAATGAACAAATAATTGAAATTTTAGTCAAAATTTTAAAAATTATTTTTTTAACAAAATTAACTAATCTTGAAAAAATTCTTATCCATGCATTCTCACAAATTTGTTATGCTATTTACCATTTACCACCAATGTTTGTTTACTAGCATTTACTAATCTTGAATCCTTATGATGTAACGACCCTAGAAATCGCTACTATAATGATGTATTCGCAAAGTAGTAAACAAGTAAATAACAACATCTATTTTACATTATGTTACCGTAATTGTAACATAGATTGAAATTCTGGTTCACTAATGGAACTTCAAAATATAATAACATTATTTATTTATATATTATACATGTAAAATTAGCTCCCTCGAAGCTATCCCACTGAACTATCCATGTTGTCTAGTAGTCACATCTTCATCTCTCAACTCCTAATATGCTCCCACATAAAAGTGATCATCACAATCTCATCCACAAGGAAAAATAGGGGTAAGTATTAAATCATTCGATATAATAAAACAGATATAGAAGTAATAATTATATATTATGATCAATTATGAAATTATCAACACACTAAGACACCTTCCGGAAGTATACCCTAACTATGCCCGAACTCAGAGGCTATCATCTGTGGGCACATTGTGATCGGTACCCGTAGTATCATTCTGACCACCCTCCACACAGAGTAGAATTACTGGCGCCCTTCATCACTCATACTAGAGTACCCCTCCGAGCGCGCCACCAGTCATCCCCCATCGACTTCTCACCGCCTGATCTCGTAGTCTACCTGACCCGACCAATCAGCGAAGTTTGGGACCTCATTCAGAATCCTCCGACATACTTATTACATTAATGTACTTTGTACCACCCCGGGTATCATTCAAACATAACAAAATTTATTCACATTTGCCGGATTTTGGACCACCTATTCTCACGGCTCATTCGGGTCAATAAAAATAGTATTTGACTGATTCTGGCACCA